AACTTGACATGACTGAGTCGCAACTATTAGAATTACTGTTCCGTATAATCCAGATAAACGATCTCTATAATTAAAAAAAATATGTTGCATATTTATTTTAAAATTGTTTCACGTTCACACACATTCCATAGATGAATGTTGAAATTATGGTTTGGGATTTAAATATTATATTAATAAAAGACGGTCCGATATATGTCACGGGTCTCCAAAGTGGATCCGAATTTTCTAGATTTATATAGTCTTGGATTAGAAACGAATATGTATAGGATGCAGTATAGTATAGATAGTGTGTTCATAATACATTAATTTGAAGTTTCACGATTTTCTCACATTATTTCATTTTAAAATCGGGACTTCGTGAATAAATATATTGTACTTCGACATTTCGAACGTGTTGCAACGTTCATTCACGACTGTACATCGATACCATAGACGTTGCAAGACGACCGACACCTGAGGTACAATATGTTTTTACCATTAGGTCCGGATTTTAAAATCAAATAATGTGCTCATCATTTTATACTCTACTTAATTAACAATTTGGACCAAAAGTCCATGGAGACAGTTAAGTAACTTAAATTATTTTTCTTAACCTAAATAATATGATATTCTAGAGCCATATCTGCAAAATGACAGCTTTTCATAAGAGAGGGTTCAATATTCTATGTATTGATAAGGGAATAGTCCATAACTTTTTTCATAATTATTTTTATAAATGTCAAATCAATCACTTGTGGCTTTACTGTAGAGAAGGTATGAATTGTTCCTTAAATGTCATCACTAGTTTAGTTTCATTCTTAAATAGAACCCTTAAAGTGAAGCCTAAATGCGCTGCCTAAAGGGCGTCGATCTGACAGCGATATGGTGGAGGTGGTCCGCCATTAGCATGTAGACAATCGAGGACTGGTTGACATCAGCGCAGCGTTCACGAGGCGACACGTCGCGCGACGTGAACAGCATTACAAGAGCTGCTAACCTATTGGATTGGGTGCTTCCTGGAAACTACACAATGCGCTATTCAAATTCTTTAACTTTGTCGAAACGGATATGACTTGTAATTTGTGAAATTGTAATTGATATATTGAAGAAGAAACTTATCGTGGTTGATTTTTATAATATGATTAATGCTACATTTACTCTTGTGACTACAGTTCGTTCGCAATTAGACGGCTACGTCTTCACAATTGACGTGACTGATTAGGAAAAGTTTCAAGTTGGCTGGAGTTCATTGATGTCTGATGACATAGGTCCTTCTAATTGTACAGTCAACAGCACATCAAGCTACACATTGACGTATCTTGTTCCATTGCACTGGAGGCGATTTTCGAACAAAAATGTGTAGTCTGATGCGCTGTTGTCCGTACCTTCCTAAGCAATATTTATATTACCGCTGAAGTTGCCGTCTTCGATAATGCTTTAGAATATTCTAGTTTCCTGTGTTTAGATCCACTGCGTTAAGACACACTTTGGCTCAAGGTATAGGGCGCAGTGACAGCACCCCTCAGATCTTTGCGATTTAAAGAGCTGAGTGGCACTGCAATGCTATGAACAGGCGTGTCGCTTACTAACCAAGCGCTCGACTTGATCGTCCCGTCACTTGGTGCCATAAAAAAAAAGAAAACATGACTTATTTAGTGTAGTGTCGATGTGTAATGATGCTCTATTTGTTATCCGACGCTTTTAAAACAACGACTCTACATATGGAGCAACTTGTGATTTGTTTAAACACGCGTCGCAATCCCAATAAATGATAAATAGGCCCATTCACAAGATATTAACGAAACAATGAATTAATTGAGATTCGAAGAACATAGAGCCGTTCAGAATACGCACACTAACCTAGGCATCTTAAGAAACCTGTTAGGTACTTTATTCATACCTTCATTATATTTTAATAGGGCCATAAAACTTAACCGCCCATATACACCGTTGTTCCCGTGGCAGAGCTTGAACACACCTGCACCTAGCTGAGTTTTCAGTACACGCCGTTAAGTGACTGCAAATTAAATTGAGTAGACATCCTTCAGTCTTATGCCAGTCCAAAATACAACTAAAATACGATTTTTAAAGCCTTATTACTTAGAACTAAGGAAAATATCATGAGTAATGACACTGTTAAAAATTACTATACTGTTTGAATTTTCTTCGTTCGCATACTTCAAGAAGTTAATTAAATCAAGCTAAAACCAAATAATTAACTATCAACTTGAAAGTAGTTTGCACTAAGGATTTTGCTTTCGCTTTTGATCATAGACTAATTAATTATGTACGCAGCACCTTAGATGCAATAGAAACGAAGGTCAAATTTAGTCGCAGTAGAGCTCCTAGTGAGTGTTCGTCCAGGGAAGCCACCTATTTGTACCGCCAAGCAGTAATGTGAACATTACTGCGTTTCAGTATTGAAGTGCAGTGACAGCGCCCCTCAGGCATTTTGCTTATAACCAGGCACACCAGACTTGACCGTCCCGTCTCGTGGTATCATAAAAAATTTATAATAATACATCTGCGAGGCGTATATGCCTTAGGTGTAGCGTAACTTAGGAAGTCACTACACTTATTAACGCGGAATCGGCTTGAGCTGGTGAGAAAAAGCTTACGTTCATGCAATAAGAGCAATAAAGACGTTTCGTTTCCTCTGGGATCGCCTACGCCAAACGCTCAAAGTCTTTTATGCTGCTTTTACTTTGGACGTAAAGTTTCTCTGACCGGCTTAATGTGCTTTTGTGTCGAAAAGTGTGGTGATTCCTTTTTTTTTACGATAATCCCTTGACCACGGGTGTACAAGCCGGTGGCGTCTGTGTAATATTCTGTTATGACAAATTGTAGATCTTTTTTTGAACCAGTCCAATGTGTCATATAAATATTTTATCGCTTTACTAGCGATTCCGAGCTTTGGATGCATTATGTAGCCTTTTGGTGGGCAGTGCATTTATTCTATACACAATCTAAGCGCTACATTGTAAGATTTGCAATTTTCTTGTATTATTGCAAATACGTTATAATTTTTTACCACTACGGTCTCTGTACTTTGTACTGGTTCATATCCGGCTCGAAGGACCACTAATGTATAGATGATTTCACCCCAGTTGATTACATTACTAAATTAGTTAGATCTTTGGCTTTCTTCATCACAGCATCGATTAAACCAATTACGAACGTCGTCGAGAACCATCCATTGCACTGTCATAGCAGCCAATAAAGATGGCGAGTGCCATTCCTAAGCTAATTAAAACACAAAGGGCTTGCAAACTAAGAGCAGCGCGATCTCAAGTGCGCCCTAAATAGTGCAGCCACGGCGAATACCATTAGTGCTGGAATTAATAGAGGAACAGTACCGTGACTGTGAAATAGGGATTGTAAATCAATATTTGCATAGGTTCACTGTACTTTATGAATCCTTTAAACGTCCCGCTGTTTCGTGACCATTGCGATGATGTGGTTGAGGGGCTGACAGTTGACTCGTCTTCACGGTTTCCTTTTATGATGTTTTCTATCTTTCTAATTCGTACGCCGTATATTCTCTGTGCATTTTGCGAGTTACTTTTGTAGTTATAGGTCGTATGTAGGTTGATAACTAACAGCAACTCAGATTTTTAAAATCCGCAATCTGTGCAAGTCTCTATAGTATTGATTCCTGTAAACTTCTAGAATTGGCTCCAATTGAGTTAGCCAACTTCAAGTGGAGTTTCTTTTCAATTTTGTGTCGCTGCTTTGAACTCGAAATACGGTCTGTGGAATTTATATTTTGAATAATTAAGACTGAGTTTCGGCAATAAAAAATTAAATGCAAAGCTGAGCGTTATAATTTCAGTACAGAGTACTAAAAAAATCGACCTCAAAAGTACGTGGAATTACACATAAGTTTTATTGAAATCGGTTACCGGAAAATGCGCAAATCCGAATTCATCCCCTAGTTCACCACTATACGGGACTTGACACAGGAGACAATAAAAATCGGTTCTCACTACTCTAAGTATATTGAGAGAGAAAAACGCCTTGAATCGGAGAATAGCAAAATCAACCAATAAAATAATTGCTCCTATAATAAAATTTAGGCGCTATTTATAAAAATGACTCTTCATGCCTGAACAGCCACCCTTAGAGGTAGACGATTTTCTTCAAAATTAAATGGGACCACTATGGAGGTACCCTCTTTCCTACAAAGAAAGAATCATGAAAATCAGTTCACAAATGACGGAGTTATCGCGTAGCATACATACAAAAAAAACCACACAGTCCAATAGAGAACCTCCTTCTTTTTTTGAAGTCGGTTAAAAATATTAAAATTTGCATCTCAAACTTCTATAATAACTGTCTATGAATGACTATTTGAGTTACCTAATTTGTGCTTATGTGTATATTTTAGATTCTAAGGTTTTCGTGGCTGTTTACTAAATAATTTTCCCTAATTACACATATCTTGCCACAGTATGAGTTCTTTTTTCCCGATAACTAGGAACTGTTACATGCTCCATGGTCACGGATTGACTGATACATATTTTGCTTTGGAATAAAACATATATACAGCCCACCTCTATACATATGATAATTTAAGTCGAACCAAGTTTGTAAATAACAATATCGAAAAAATAACGAATGTGGTTTAATAAAAATGTTACTAACAAATTGCCGGTCAACATTTCCGATATGAACCTAATTTATACTCGAAATGTCGACCAACACTACTAGTGTACCATTGAGCCAGGCAATTCGAAAATAGCTCAACCCAAACTCGGCAATCAAAGGATGGAATCAAATCGGTGCTCCATCAGCTTTGATGTGTCGCGAGAATTTGTCTTGATTTACATGCCTCCGCCTCCGCCCCCGTGCCCCTTCTCCAATAACACGCTTTGAACTACGCTCCAACTGTACTTCAAACGCAAATTTATTCTTGATTTCTGATGTTTTCTATTCAGAGTGCACAAATAGTAATATGCTATATAATTGAAATGGATTCAAAATATTTCAGTAGAATATTGTACGTGTATATTATTTTCCAGATGTCGTTGGTAGAGATAGCAACGAATTCAGCAATGCGGGAAGACAGGATCCAAAATATTTACAAATTCTGCACTCCGAATCTGGTAAGTTCTATTTTTTTTCTAGCATTATACTTGTTTGTTAGCTCCTAGCTATTTAGTGAATTGATTCAGGATTATATTATTCAAGAGATTATCTATCAAACGTCGCCAGAGATTAGTATTTTTATAAATATACCGTAAAAGGCGTTGTGAAACTCATTAAGATAACATCTTTAATAAAAGTTGCCACCGACTAAGATACAGTAAGAGTTTTGTCAGACTCGTAAATCTCTTATGACAAGATGATATCAACATTACCTAATTTAATAAACACGTTTATTTTAAATTATTTCATGACTAGATAATACTGTTAATGATATTACAAAATTTACATTTCAAAACGTTTACTCCAAATACTGCATGCAGATATTTTTTGAATTCACATTCGGGTGTTAATCGTGTATAAAAATATATTTTATATATTTCGACGTTTCGGATGTATTGTAACGTCCATGGTCTCGAAGGAACCCCTTTAAAGGGACCTCGAAGGAGTCCCTTCGAATTCATGGACGTTGCAATACGTCCGAAACGTCGAGGCAAATAAAATATGTTTTTATTCAGGATTAAGTGTCGAATATGAAATCAAATAATGTGTGAAAACGCAGGTATGCTTCGATAGCAAGATTTTAAAATATTTTGTAGAAATGCGGTTATTATAACCTTTTTATGATTTTACTGTCAAAAAAAGAAGGCGGTAGTAAACTGATATCCTCTTTCAATCTTCACTCAGGCTCACGTCTATTGAGTGGGGTATTATTGGAATAAATCTTCATTGAGTCGTCAATAAACCGCCTATCGCATTGTATTGTAATTGAAGTGGTGTAGGGTTACCATCTCTCAAAGCCTCTATGATAAAATATTCGGTTACCCCCGAATGATGCTAAGGCAATTTGAATGGCACACGAATTCCAATATTTGGAGGAAGTAACTATATTTTTTCTTTACAGATAGAGTTTTGGATTTGTATGAATCACACTATTCAAGGTGCGTAAAATTTTGTTTGTTAAAAACATTTAATCAGTCTTGCCCAAATAAATCTGAGTGATATGATTTTTTTTTATTAATGGTTGATATATTTCTATTATACCACGGCTGAGCACTAGTCTAATTAAACCGTCTCCGTATAATCAGTACAAATGCGTATGATAAGTATTTATGCTTTGTGCCTCCATGGCCGACCAGTTACTATGCTGGTATGCCAAGCAGAGGTCGCGGGTTTGATTACCGGGCCAGGAGAAATATTTGTATGGCCTACATTTATTTTTGTCATTGGTTTGGGTGTAATTTGTGCTTATCTATGTGTGCGCCAATGGCACCTGTGATACAGCGTACATTATTTATTTATTTATACAGTACGTACAGTGTGCATTATTTATTTATTTTAACGAATTAATACATCATACAGAAGTGGTATCCGGATCAAGATGGTGGGGCCGGGCGTGCTGTGCGTTAGGCAGATCAGAAACCTGCCGACACGCGTGTGCTACTGCTGGAGACGCTAGTGTGTTGGCAGACGCCTGTCGCAGGTCTGACGAGATCGCCTTCTTCGACTGTGTACACCAACAGCGAGAGGCTCAGTGGTGCTGTTGTAAGTAACTGTATGAAGTTGGAAAATGTTGTCGGTTTTATTGTTTAAGAGAAGGTTCTATTTTCAAATGAGTAGGTGTTTAATCGAAAAATTGGTAGACGAATCAAAGTAATACCAGAAATAATCCGAACTGACGGTTTTGTTGTGAATTGTAATTTTACTTTTAATAAGCAATGAGTTCTAACTAAACTGTTAGTAGTAACAAAAAGACACCTTCATAAGTCACGCTGCCCGTAAAATAGCCGTGTAAACCCAATACAGACGTCTGTAATATATAATCGTCATATTGATTAAACTCTACTGCTCATTCGTAAGGTAGATTCCCATGATATTAATGAGCAAGAAACTCTAGGGGCTGCTCTTTGTAAATATACATTTGTACACGTTTTATCATTTACAATATTTATTTCCAATATCATAGATCGAGAGTATCTGCATGAGCTACATGGGTCACTATCACGGATTTTTGTTATCCAAGTATGCAGACTGTATAATAACACCCTATAATAAGATTTTGTTTCACTATAGTTTTAAACCTCGTGAATGGCAAATTTTGAATATCAACCGGAAACTTATAAAGAAGACCAATCAAGTTATCAACCGGAATCGTATACTTTGTCCCTTAAATTAATTTGTGACTTCGTGGAGACGACTATTAAGAACAACTGATCAATAATAATAATAATAATAACAAAAAATTGATGTTTTTTTACCAAAAACATATGAATACAACGGTAATAAAAGGATCACGAATAAAATGAATAAAGACACCTTTTGAACGACATACGAGTATGTGAATATTCGAAAGTCTTTTATAATTTCCAATAGCTATGGGTTTGTAGGATTCAGTGGCCTGGAAACGTGATAAGGAGAGGTGAACGTGTAATCAAAAGAAATAACTATACTTTTAGTTGGTTCTGTTGAATTTGCTACAATAGGTGTTATCAATTGGGTTTCAATGGTTTATTTTGCATTCAAACACGTCATGTTTGTTGCTCATATGAACTTAATTACATAAGGTTTTTTACAATGCATGTTCTTCTTCCAGCACAGACGCAGTCGCTGAGTTGCCACGAGGCATGCCAAAGTGTGATGTGGCGTTTAGGTCAAGCAAAGGTAGACACTAAAGCAAAAGAACGAGCTGTGGAAATTTGTGAGCAGTCACCAGAGCTGTTGCATTGTCTACGAGAATTAACGGCATCTGCCGTGCTTTCTGACCTTTCCAATTGTAAGTAGTAACTGAAGTACCGTACTGTTGTTTATTTGACTGTAAACTTTTGTGTTCAAAGGAATTACTTTGAACACAAAAGAAATATTAGTATTAAATAATAGTTTTCGAAAAAATAGTTTGCAATTTCATGTTGAGTCTCCTTCTGCATCCTAGTAGTCTAATGCTCGTATTCCAGAACTCTTCTCAATGCTCAAGTCAGGATTTGCGAAGACTTGAGTATGATTTCAAGCACTGGAAATACGACCCTAATGGCAAGGCCTTGAGTATGATTTTCAGTGCTCACTGCAATACTCAAGTCCTGACTTGAGCTCTCTCTACTCAATGGTAGAGTTCTAGAAAACGAGCCTTATAGATTGTTACCTATGTATATACCTATAGTTAGGCATGTGTGTTATATTGTATGTATATTTATATGTATCATAATTATTTATTAGCTTGGATCCTATCTGATTTCAATCTAATATTGTCTTATTATGCACCGCCTGCTAATTATTCTGAAATCAGCTGTCCGGCTGACTGGTACAGAATGCCTAATGGTATTAAGTTCGCCATTTGTACTGTTTTGCGAGCAATAAAGTTTAAATAAATAAAAAAAGGGTAATGTTTAAGTAATAAGCATATTTATTTTCTCTTTGTCTATGGATGCTTTGTTTAGTAAATGTTGTAAAAGTTTCTAACTATAGTCGGCCTTTAACTCTGACATGGGCTTACCTATACAAAACTTTTACTTCCCAGAATTAAGGGCCATCCTTCACCGTCAGTTTTTACTAATTTCAGATTTACCATGCTGTCAAAAGGCACCTAGTCCAGAATGTAGAACTACTTGCGAGGCAGTACTTCGCCGAACAGGTGATTCCCAAGAAATTGCCAATGCTCTATCAAAAGAATGCGGTACTCCTGCTCTTCACGATGATCTTTGGCAATGTTTCCTAAGAACTGACGCCCCAGCTGATGCAAAAGATATCATTCCTTATGACGCTGCTAAAATGCACTGTTGTCAAAAGGCTACTACGATAAATTGCCGAAGACTATGTTTCAACACTTTTAACAAAGATTGGCACAATAACTGGCAGAATTTTTTTGCGGAATGCTTGGGTGATCCTCAAGAAATGGATTTATCGCAATGTATAGAAGAAGGTAAAATATCTTCTAATGATATCAGGATTAGCTGCCCTATACATTTATACAAAAAAATCTAATAATAAAAGTTTCTGATTTCAGTGGAATCACCGTGTTCTCTAGGATGTGCTGGTCTTACTTACTGTAGTCAACTGAATAATCGACCGACAAGTTTGTTTAGATCATGTTCTGCTCAAGCTGATCTTGACGCTCATTTGTCTGTTGCCGAACAAAAAGGCACTGGGTAAGATTCATTTACACCCCACTGCTATAATAATTCGGTAAAAGTGATTGCTTCCTAATGCATGTATACGTTACAGATTCGTAAGTGTATCGGGGCTCAAATTACCGTTGAAAAATTCTACTCAATGTACGTCTGATGTTTGGAAAAGCGTGGCTTGCGCCCTACATGTTAAACCTTGTACAGCTAAGGTATATTTTTCTTCACGTCTTTCTTGGTTATGTGTTGATTTTTTTGTGAGTTAAATATTTATTAATTTGGGTATTTCAGGGCCATAGCAGTCTGCTTTGCGAGGAGGACTGTATGAGATTGGTATCATCATGCGTGGATTGGTCTAGGACACCTGCGCAATTAACAGCAAGATCATTGTGCGCTCGGCTAGCACCTCACTCTAACGCGGCGCCTTGTGTACCATTGAGTCAATTTATGTTGCCTAGTAAGTGAATTTAATATATAAGATACATCGATAAGCATTTTGTGAAAATTGTGATTGTAGTTAACGATTTTCAGGTACTGAGCCACCGTTTTTATCAGCAAGGGAAGCCGTCACGTCCCCATGTGCGGGATCACCCTGTAACGCTACGCAAGTATGTCTTGTTAACAGAAACTGTTTACAAGGAGGTACTTGTGCTCGATATACTTGTGTCAACGGTTGTCCTTTAGGTAATTTTCTTACTACTCGTACAATAACCTTCGCCTTATCAATGGTTTTAATGGATTATGGTTTCTTTCGCTTTCAGGTGATGGAAGTCCATACATGGTTCCAGTGGACACTTGGGTTAGAGTACCTATGACAAGCCCAACACAGAAAGCTTGCTTCAAGATTTGTAAGTGCAGTAATAAAGGCCTAACAAGCTGCCAACCTTTGCCGTGTGTTACTCTTGAAAATTGTCGTTTACATGATAAAGTGGTGCAAAATGGTAAGTTACTGTTTTTGGTCACTTTTTTGGTACATTGTTATTACTGTAACACGGAAATTTCTCCCCTCCAGGTGAAAAATATTACATGGAATGTAACGCCTGCTCCTGTGTGTTGGGTGAGCGAGTTTGTTCTCGAAGAGCTTGTGGAAAGACAGCGTTATTGACTGGGTTACCCTGTAATTGTCCTCCGCATCATTTACCAGTACATACGCCTAGGGGCCTGTTTCCCAATGCGTGTTTGGCTAAGTAAGCATTCTTTGGTCCAGAACAATAAGTATATTATTTTAACTATTCAAAGATTTAGTCAAAACGTAAAATTAATTTCAGTAACGTCTACAAATTAAGTGTGATTTTTTGTAGGTGTGCGGGAGCAACTGACGCCGAGATAGAATTTGGACCACGGACGCCTTGTGCTGGCGTGACATGTCCACGGAGACACGTGTGTCTACCTGCATCAAATGTTTGCATCTCTAAATTACAAACATCGTGTCCCCAACATGTTTGCGGTATGTGTATTTGCCAGCTTAATGAATTTATTCTGTTAGTACTCGTGTCAAAGGCATATAGTTACTCGATGCAAAGGCATAACTAAAGAAAATGCGTTGTCCTAGACGTGTATTCAATAAAATCAATATTACAATTCATAAAGCGACAATTCTTGTCAACATCAGACCCCGTAGCACGGCTACGCATGATAGTCGCGACGCGCGCGATAAAATTGAAATAAGCACGCGATTGGCTGTCTCAGGGTCGTATTCTAGAACTCTGCTCAATGCTCAAGTCAGGACTTGAGTATGATCCAAAGCACTAGAAACTCAAGTCCTTGCCATTAGGGTCGTATTTCCAGTGCTTGAAATCATACTCAAGTTTGTTCAAATCCTGACTTGAGCATTGAGTACAGTTCTGGAATACGACCCTAAATCAGATCTAATTTAGGTAGCCAATAGCGCGCGCTTATTTCAATTTTATCGCGTGCGTCGCGACTGTCATGCGTACCCATGCTACGGGCGCAGGTTGAGTGATACTACGGTAAAAAAGCCGTTAAAGCCAACGCAAAGAACTGTAACAAATGCATAGAGATAGGGTAAAGATAAGGTCTACTGACTCGATCTGTAGCTCAGTTCGACTCCTGTCAGATCGAAAGAATTTTTCTTCAAGTTCGACCATAATTTAAATTAATACTTACATTTCAGTAAATATAACGAATTGTAATTCGCAACCTGCCAGTCCAGTATGTGACACGGATGGATACACACATGCCAATCCATGTGATCTTGTGATGAGAGCTCGATTACTGGCTTACTGGGGACAGTGTTTGCAAAAGTGTTCCAGTGTAAGTACTACTTGTTATATGTTTCGTATTAAGTTTTGAAAATATTATTACGAGAATTTTATTGAAACATATTATTGTTTTACCAGACGGGAAAAGTTTGTGGTGTCAACGGCGTTACTTACTTCTCTGAATGTGCAGCGTGGGCGGAATATGTGAGCGTGGATTATTTGGGCCCATGTCTAGCCGTGGGTCCAATATCAGATCTCATGGAACCAAAGTGTCAGTTCGACAGAATCGTCTGTCCAGCGTTGAAGAATTCAAAATGTCTGGGCTTTACAGCTCCTGGTGCCTGTTGCCCTAGATGCGGCGGAGCGTTAAGAATATTGTACTCTAAGAAACAAATCGATAGAGCCTTATATGGTACAAATATTTCAGCTACTGTAATAAACTTGAGCAACGTTCTAAAGGCTCTTGAAAGACACGTAAAAATCGCTGAATGTGCCCTAAGAGGATTCTTAACAATCGAAAGGGAGATTTTCGTAACTGTAGAGTCAACGCTTCGAAATCCAACCGATTTGCAATTAAACGTGTGTGTTTTAGAAGCCGAAAAATTAGCAGACTTGATTAACAGAGAAAGTGTACTGGTATCTAGTGATTTAGGATTAAGTGCGTTATCATATGCATTGACTGTTCATACTCAACCTACAAGTAGTGCAAGTGGTATTAAGTTATCAGTTGTAGTAGGGCTATTAACATATACCATTTACGCTTTAAGATAAGACTTGGTTTTATATTTCTAGAAATTGTAAATATTATTAAGTTGTAAATAACTTAAAGATAGCTGTAAATCTGCGAACCATGTACACCAAATAATTTAGTGCCATAGTGATTTTTATCTAGCAATTTAATGTGCTTTGGTCTGCTTTATGTGTTGTACGTCGATTGTAATCAGCAAGAGCACAAATTCTTGTTGTATATATTGTAGAATAGCATTGCTGTGAGTTCTAAGTGCCATGTTTGTAGTTGGAATGTGATTTGAGATTTTTGCATTTGCACATTGTTAAGAAAAAATGTAATGCTAATAGACTGAGATTAAGCATTTTATAACAATTTTACAAAAGACAGTTATGATATAGTCTTTATACCAAATATGTATTGTATTACTTTTGAGTATGATTGTTATTTTGTTGATAGAATTCTAAAGTTTTTAGAGATGTCTAATTCTAAGAAAATAATTATATCTGTTCATGTGCTTCAAGCAAAAGAAAAGACTATTAAAACAAACAAACCAGTATAGTATGATTTTTATTTTGCACATAACACTGAACAATCAAGGAATATACATACGTAATAATAATAGCGTGAATTTTACATTATCACAAGTTAATTGATCACTTATAATTAAATTCGGTCAAGTCTTTCTTGTCGAAGAATACATTGATTCGGTCTAAGAGTTGTGGATCGGTGACCGCTTTGGCAAGCTGCATGAAACCGCTCTGTAGCACCGGGTTGATCAGTTGGAACCTTTCCAACGGAAAGGTAAGAACAAGTTCGAGGTATGCCATTAGAATGTTTTGGAAGCAATGGCGTTGCACTTCTGTGTCCTGAAAATAGGGATTGGTCAACAACACTCATAAGAATAGAATAATATACATTTGAAATTACCTACCCTACTAATGCTGAGAGCCCGTTGTTGCTCTATTTCTGGTGGCACAGGTTGCGGCGGAATAAGTGGTTCAATATTTTTATTCTTTTCATAGGTTGGTCCGTCACATATTGTAATATTTACTTTTTGAGAATTCATATGACTGTCAAGGGCATCTGATACGCTAACCTTCTTTTCTTTTACAGGACTACCTTTTTCTGTACCTTTTGTTTCTTCACACAATGGAAGCGCGTATTCATGTTTATCGACAACTGTGCCATCTGGCATGCTAGAAATGTCAGTCTCTGAAGCACCAATGTTTTCTGCAATATGGTCATTTGAAGCTCCTCGAGTCTCGCCATGGTTTACGCTTATTGAAACTTGACTATTCGCTTTAAAGTCAGCGAAAGTAAATGGTTTTGGTTTCGCCAATTCATCAACCACCTCATTTAATTGTTCTTTATTGATAGGAGCAGAGACAACTTCATTTGTTCCTTGAGCGTAATACTCTTCATAATGATTCGAAGAAGAGTCTGTATCCACAGAACTGACTGAGACGCGTTCTTTAATTTCATTAGGCTCATCGAAGTCTGAAACGTCTATCAAATGTTTTACATAACTGTTGCATAATAGGTCCCAAGTAGCTTTCAGATCAAATATCTTTCTCACGAATCGATCATATTCAAGCGTCAAACTCAGCGTCGTCGTATAGTTGTGTAAAATTATTGATATGTCGGCAGGTTTTAATTTAAACCTATGCATGCCGCTGAAAAATATCTCCGTCATGGCTATGATTTTAATGAGCCAAGACGATGTTGTTTGTTTGTAAAGATTAGCCGCATAGTCCAAGTTAGAAACTTTCTGAACTAAGAATTTCAGGCCTGGCCTGGAATCGAATTGCATCGCTCGAGTGTAGGATAATTCCAAGCTTTTCAATAGTAAATCGATATTTTCATTGTTTAAGATGAATTTGTAATTGCAAACGTTGGACCCAGACTTTAAACTATCCATGAGAATACCGTTAATACCTTGAAATACGTCTGAAGATGCTTGTATAAGAACTGTGGCTATAATTTGGATTAGGATTTGATGTGCCAAGAGTCCTACCACCAAGCCTCTATGAGGAATTCGCACAGTGTAGAGTTCAGGATTCAACGAGTTAATATAATCATGAAGATACACAAGGAAAATATAACTCCGGTCGTCAATCAACATAAGATTTTGTGACGAATTCTTTGGCGTTAACTTGGCGTGGCCGTCGCTTTTCAGTTGTTCATTTAAGAATACTTGTTGTGCCATAGCATGAAGACGTACGTTGTCATTTACTGAACAATCTCTTCTTGCAGCTACTTTTACCATTGCTAGGTCTCCATAGAAACTATTTGAGTTTTCCGTAAAGGCATACGTGATTTGCTTCAACGGACTTAGACTAACATTGCAAGCTCTGTGTAGACTCATGCAAACAATTTCCCATTGATTATCAGTCAGCAAATGGCCCGAAGTTAATATTATGTGCCTTATACAAGATGCTCCCAGTCTGGCTATCGGCTCTTGAGGTTGTGCAATACATTCCACTAATATCAGCATTATCTGCTTTACAGCAAAACTTGCTTCAAAACTTTCGATGGGTTCAAATTCTTCATCGCTTTCACTGGGGTTAACCCTTTCTATATTTACTTGTTGCAAGTGATGAAGATAAAATACAATAGTATCAGTTGTCATGCCACAACACTGTTTAAAGTTTGGCATAACGCTGTCCCAATGCGTGTTCACATTGGATATTTGTCGTAACCAATTCTGTACCGTCGGTAATAAAAGATGATTAATACAATGAAGACCGAAATGTGTTCCAGGAACTTCAACAGTATTTCTTAATAACTTGAATAGAGTCTCCATTGCTGCAGGCTGGTTTTTCTTTGAGCACACGACTGTAGCCGATATTAGACCTTCGATCAGAACATACCATACTTTGAGTATGTTACTCGGTTTATCCAATTTTAGCAAGCAGTTGTTGGTGGTGTTTGAAAGTGGAAGACTTGTCGATAATTTTCTGTAGGAAATAAGTTCTTCTTCATAATGTTCGTTATTAATATATTTTGTTATATCCAATGAAGCGCTCGGTATAATTGGATCTACGACAGACAATGGCATGTCTCCTTTGATTCTATTACCAGTATTAAATATCGGACATTTAGGCATGTTGTACATCATGTTTAAAATATTAGCACAGCTCTCTAAATGAAACAATGCTTCTTTGCACATGTCTATTATTACTTTTTCAGATTTTTCTTCACTAAGAGGAATAAACTTGCTGTTCTTGGAAAATTTGAGACTTAAGCTTGGCTTCGGCTGAGTGGGAGTAGTTACTTTCTTTGGTTTAACTTCTGCGGCTTGTACTTCGTCGTAATGAAGGCCCTTTATGTGGCTTAGCAGGCAAAGAATACAATCAAGAGCTGCATTGGCGAATACCAAAGTGTTGTCAGTGTTGAGAAATACTTTAAATATTTCCAAAATGGCTGAATATTGATTGGAGTTATTGGCAGCCCGGAGTGTGTTGAACAGTGGACGCCATCCAGACCTTATTTCCATTCGATTTGTTTCGACGAATTCACAAATACACGATATTATTTGCTCCTGAAATAAATCAACAATAACATCCTTAAGTGAACTATGATATCGAGCTCTTAGGATTTCGCGATTGCTACACATTGGAGATGAAAACTATTTTTTCGGATCTAAACCGTGTATTTTTTGTTCTTTTAAATAAACCATTGTTTCGGGTCCTTTATAGGTCACATGGTGCCAGGTGACTGAGATGGTAAAGGCATTTCATACATTCTTTAGCATAACATTTGTATGGTTTCATACATTCGTCGGCATAACTCTGGACATGCGGCGATCTACTTTAGCCACGTGCCGCACTGTTTTAAATAACAATTCACACTCTATTTTCACGTAGTACGTTACCAACTGTCCACAAATACACGACATCAAGGAAAGATTTGCCACCATAGTTACGTACAATATACTTTTACCACTTTCTTTGCAAGTCTTTCTCTGCGTACCACCACTACAATCCATGTATGGAGTAAGGTGGCCTATACAACATTAAATCAGTTATATCTAATATTAATGCAAACCACCCTATTCCTAATTAATTCATATTGTTAAAACAAAATTTTTAGTGCATGTAACGTAAATTTGAATATTCTATGGTAAATTAAAAATAATGTATTAACAACGTTTGCAACTATAATGCGGAATAAGGATGTTTGCATTAATATTGTAGCTGGTTGAGGACTTCACCATCTCAGGTAGCCGTGATTATAGGATCGGTAAAAGGCCCGAAACAGTGGTTTTTTTGAAAACTTAAATAATATGATTTACACCTGAAGAATAGTTTAATATCTTCCTATGAGCTCATTGTAACAATAGGTGCCAAAGTTGATTCTAATTGCGTTTACCTGTATATCGTCGTCACACAGTTCCAGGCACAAAAGATTTTCGAATGGCTTCAGCAGCGCCTCATTGAAATGGAAATGTGGTAGTTCCACTTGTTGATTTAATAGAGCCGTGGCACAGTCATGTAAACATTGGATCGCCAGGCTTGAGATTTGAATGTCTTTATGGCATGCAGCCTATAATAAACAAAGACAAATATTGAGCTGAAAATATCTGAAGAGAAACTAAAATATTTCGACTAAGCAGTTAAGTCGGCTGTTACACCCTATTTTTGACCCCTTATGCAAATAGAACCGAGTGATAAGATTGAAACCTATATCTAAGTATCTGCGTGTATGCCTTTTATTTGTTTTATTATACCAAGTGACGGCACGAACAAGTCGGGCATTGTGGTAAGCGCGTGGCAGTACTTCCCTGGACGAACTCTTGCACAAGGAACTCTACAGCTACTTGATCTGTTTAGCTGTTTGAGACCATTAGTCATAAAGTGAATATTTATTTTACTGCCACTTGTATGATCTACGTGCAATTTGATATGACATTATATTATGGTACAGTATGGATGACAACGTCGATCCGACGCTGCAACCAGGACAGTCTGTAAACTAACCAACCCCTCAACTACTCACAGCAAAACAATCGTGTTTGAGCTCATTGGAGTCTCGACGAGTAATTGGCTCACAGTGGTTACTTTATGTATGTAGTATTTCTGTTTTTATGTTATCTTTTCTTCTCTATAATATGTTTAGTATATTTTATTGTACGTTAATGTGAATTGGCAGATTCTAACTGACCTGCATGAAGTGTGGGCCAACGACAGTCCAAATGGCCATTCTATGAGCGAGGGGTCTTGCAGCGCGCAAGCAACGCAAAGCCACGTCCCCAGCACGGCTCAGCGCCCGCGCAGCCTCGCCGCCGGCGCCTCCGGCAGTCGCGGCAGCGCGTCCGCCGCGGCGCCACCACGCGTTGTTGTTGGCTACGTCTTGATCCCACGAAGAGAACAACTGTTGAGTACAAGCGGAAGCCCAATAGTGAACCTTGACTCGGGGGTTACAATTCAATTCGCATAGACAAGCCCTCAAAGACTTACCAGCTTATGCTGATGGGCTGCCAATCTTTGCAGAGCAGCCCGTAAGGTGGGCAGCGTTGTAGTAGCTGCAAGACGAGTGAATAGAGTATCAGAAGCGGCGGACAACGCGCAGCAAACTCGAGCTGCGCCAGATCCCGTTATTACATTGCCTTTCTGGAACAATGCCAAAGAATTCCGAATTGAGGTTTAGTATAGAAGGCGGACTCCGCAAAGGTGGAACTGGGTGACTGTTTCAACAATATAAAAAAGTGACACTTACTTCTTGACGACAAGTTTCGACAATTTTTGCCACTGACATGTCATTGTTAAGATTATTTTCCAGCACTGGTTGCAAGAAGTTGAAGACATCCACGCTGAAAACCAAAATTACATTTAGCGACTAGGTCACTCAGAGATATGTTTATTATCAAAATTAAATCTCCAATATGACTTACCACATTTCATCGTCTCGTCCATCGAGACCTAACTTGGCATCTGCTTGTAATATAGACACAGTTTTATTTCTGCCAGTTTGCATGGCGACTATTGGAGTCGCATTATTTCCTTGTTGTCCAAATAGGGAGTGTTCAAAGCTGGATACGTATTGGCATGCTGCAAAGATGTGCTCCCAGCATTCGGGTGCCTTTGAGCCTAGTTCTAAGCCACCTGTTAATATAATTTTAGATAAATTCTACTCTTTTGAACACGTGGACTCTTAGGTTGGCGCCCAAAGTGGGGCCAAATTGTATTCTAGAAAGAAATTGAAATGTTTTACCAGTGATCAAAATATCCAATGACAAAGCATGTGTCGCAAGAATCTTGCCGTTTGGTGGCTGTGAAATAGCAGAATTTGCCAGGAGAGCTAATATATTGCTGCAGCGATTTTGCAAGCTCAAAGTGTTGCTCACTCTAGCCGCCTGGAAAAAATTATTTCACTTTCAAAATTCCAGTTTTATACACCGATGTGACTGCTACTATGTATTTAAAGAAAAGAAATTAAAAAATAAGTTAGAAGTATGCCACCTTGTGTAATCCTTCAAGGCATTGTATGGTCAATCCCTCCCAAGCAATTCGTTTCTTCTTTCCAAACGTGTTGATCTTCTTTGATATGATACCGTGTAACTTTTGCTTTCGGTTCTTGTAACCCGATAGTGGTACACTCAAAATTGTTACCATCGACTCCCAGATACATGTCAAAATTCTGAAAAAGGATATGGAAGATATTTTTACAGTTGCCAGCTTTTTGAGAAGGAAGACATACAGTCTCAATTTTATACTGAATTTAAAAGGCAAACAAACAATTAGCAAAACCATATACAGTAATGTTTTTACTAATTATATTAAATTAAATATAATAAGTTATTGCATGATACTAAATATGTCACGCCTTACCGTCGTGCCCAACGCAAACTGGCTTCGTGTAAAGGCGAGTCGTTAGTGACGTTATAGATCATGGAGACTTCCTTCAGTTTCTGCCAGTCTGACATTACAGGGTTCTGATCTAGGCCACCGAGATCTACAAATTAGTTAATTTAGTAGCTGAATGTAGATCCGACCAAATTATTGTGTACTGTGTGGCACAGGATTAATAAAATGTTTATTAGGCAATGTTCATTATTAGATGTACAAATGTACAAAGCTAAGATTTCATTGTTTCTGCTTTAAGTATATAGTAAATACATATGAGAATTACTTAATTAGTGGTATTATACCTGATAGTAAATGCATAAGTGGATGATCAGTATTGGGCACGTCTTTCAGTAAGTCATGTGCTAACACTTGTTGGTACAGTTCCCGAAGCCATGTTGCCGACAAGTACACTAGCACTCCACTGCCTTGGACTTCTTCAACGAACTCATCTTCAGTTAAAGGCACTTGGACTTTCTATTAACACATAAGAAATTACGGTTAAATCTGAAGCGTTCCTAAGGACGAAGGATAAAAATATTTTTCCATGACATGTTAACTCACCTCAGGGTTATTGTAGTAGTTAATTCGGCGTTGCTTTAGTGTCAATAATAGAGCCGCATAAGTAGCCAAGTAGACTCCATCAGCGTTCATAATGCAAGAAGTAGCGGGAGGTTGCGCTGCGTTATGTTGGCAACATTTTGAAGCGAATTCTTGCATCGCTTCGTCAACCTGTTGTGTAAAATCAGATAATTATGGCACGTCCTGAATCTGTTCTCTCTGTTTGTTTTGGCATTCTGGACTAGTTCCACTGTAGGCACGCAATTTATGTCTTTACTTACCTCAATGCAAGTCCTTAGGTTCAGCAGTTTGGGCAATAAAGATACTTGCAACGTCTTCACAAATTGTCGGGCATTGTGTCTCTCCAAATCCACGTTACATTCTGTTACAGTGCATCTAAAAATGGCAAAATATTTCATTAATAAATTTTAATTAACGAAATTCATCAACAACTGAACACTACTGTTAAATTCTCACCTCCCAAGGTTCAAGGTCTTAGGAATAGCTTTAGTTTTCTCAATAAAAGCAGTTCCTGTTTTATTAGGAGATGCGGGGTTATTGGCACGTGAAGGAAGGAACACGTTGTCTGCATCTGAATCAGCCTCACCATCACTGCCTGAGGAGACGTTTTCTGGACCTGATGTGTCTGAAGTGATGAAGGAAAATTAAAAAACGTCTTTCTCAGAATTACAACTTTGTTAAGTTGTACTGATAATGAAAATCAAGCTATTTAAATTCTATATTGATTGAATGAATTACGTACCAGAAGAATCATGTCCTTTTTCTTCATTACTTTGTAAGACAGCAACAACATCTCTGAAAATTAAAACAAGTTCATATATCATTGTGAAAGTGACGCCTATATAGGAAAAGTAAGTTATATTGTCCGGTTTACACACCTGTAAGGACTTGGTAATCTAGCTAAAGTTTGGTACGTCAATGGCCCTGAATAATCAGCGTCGTGTAACTTAGGCCAATGTTCCAAAATGAGCGTTGCTTGCTCCGGGGTGAGATATTCTATTGTCCCCGAACAGAGTTTCTCTAAGGCATCAAGAAGCCCGACAACACATTCTACGGCTGCTGCTACTACCTCCAAGTTCCCACTGCGTCCACATTCTTCTATGCCGTCCATTAGTCTGGAAAACAACAGCGACAACGTGGTACAGTAAAGTTTAAGTGAGATTTTTAAGAAATCTAAGAGTAATTAGTTGTTTCTTGCTAAATGCTGGCTAGTACAAATCCTTAAATACACCAATCACAAATGACGTTTTACTTATAAAAGGTTTTCATCAGTTTTGCGCTCTTGTATATCTGGAAAATTCTGGATTTACAGTCAGTTTAAACTTACAGTCTTATAATAGCCATATCATCACTATGTCTGTCCTCCGTTTTCTTCTGTAGTACTAATTGGCATAATCTCTTTGGATTCTGCAATAGCTCTCTCGTACTCCGTAGTGGCTCTACACGATGGGATACAGGCGGGTAGAGCAACATCCTGTGGTAAAGAGCTTCTAATACTGGTCGAAGAGTAGAAGTGGAACCGACTAATCTTACTAGCTGGTTCGCTATGCTGGAACAACACATGAAATCGTTAGAAGCTTCAACATTATGACGGTTTTATTCTAGGTCCCATGAACATATAGGTCTAGACTTGATTGAATAAAATACCAATATTTGCTTGAGAACTGTTGTAGATGTCCAAATTTTATTTGATCTCTCATAGCACCGAAAACTTCAAAATCTTACCTGTAGATAGCTTTAGCTTGTTTACTGTTAAAGCTTGGAGCGCATACAAGAGCTCCAGATCCTCTGCCAGAATCGTCTACCAAGTGGCCGTCATGTTCTCTGAAATAGTATAAAATAAGAACCCTTCATTGTAAATATGGTCAGGTCAAAAAGATCTTTTAAAAAGGAAAACTTAATTTACCTGGATTTAATATTCTTGTCAACTCTTGGAGTTCCAAGGAAGGATATGAGTGATGGGCAAAATTTCTGCCAGAGGAAAGTGGTAAAGTGCGAGTTGCCGCTGACGCGCTCTGAGAGGCTAGACATCAGAGTCAGTAGGCAGTCCAAGAAGAATAGTGCCAGGGGATTTTGTTTGGGGATTCTGGAAGAAATGTTGCAAACCTTAAATTACCAGTAATTTGTCGGCTGTGCAGCACGTCATGTCAATTTGACTCATACCTCATGTTACAAACTTCACACAAGTTTCAACAAATACAATCAAATTTTTAGTAATGGTTCAAACTGAGTTTCAGATTAGACGGTTTTCTTGCATAATAAGTACCTGACTATACGTGGGGCGCACTATAAGTTTCCGGTATGAATAAGAAAACAATACTATAAATGGTCAGAAATGAATTTATTGTTTCTCAAAATATTCTCCGTTAGCGTTAATGTACTTTTTCATACAAACGAACCAATTTTGAAAACATTTAAGCCACTCCTCCTTGATAATCTCTGAAACATATTTTTCATACTATTCGACAGCTACTTCTTAATTTTTGGTAATAAATAAAAGTCACAAGGTGGCAGGGTGGGGACTGTACGCGGGATGGCTCATAAGGTCAACGTTGTTCACCTTCAAAAATTCATTGGTCTGTCTGGCCGTATGAGAATTGGCATTATCGCGGTGCAAGATGATACGGCGTTTACGGTTATTTTTGCGGAGTTTATCAATAACTTCCGGTAAACAAATGATCGTGTATCAATCACTATTCACGGTACAACGATTATTCAAAGCAACAGTAGCTACGTGTCCAGTTTTATTTAAAAAAAAGAAGCAATCATCCGCTTAGAGGCATTTTGCACGCGCGCCACTTTGGCTGATTTCGGCTCATCTCGAAAGACCCATACGCTCGATTGCTGCTTTGTTTTGGGATCTTAACTATAAATCCATGTTTTGTCACCTGTTACTATGTCCCACACCACATTTGGCGCCGTTTCGTTGAATCTGGTAAGCATGGCATTGCACCAAGTGACGCGATCCGTTTTTTGAGCTTCAGTCAAATTGTGTGGGATCCACCGAGAGCACAGCTTTTTCACACCCAAATGTTTGTGTAGTATTGATTGTATTTGACTTATGCCTATGCCAAAAGATGCCTAAATCTCATGGTATGTCACATGCCTATCTGTTTTGATCATACGGCGCACAGCGTCGATGTTTTTGTTGTTCACAACAGTGGACGGGCGACCATCACGAAATTCGTCATTGAGATTCACACGACCGCGTTTGAATTCTGCAAACCAGATATAAATAGTCGTCTTGCATGGTGCTTCCCGCCAAAAGCAGTTTGAAGCCGAGCGAAGCTCCGCTCAGCTGTTAAATTACACTTAAAATCGTAGAAAATCGTACTACGAAAATTTTCACGAGTTAAATCCCTGGTGATGTAGACAACCAATTTCTAAAATGACGCCACAACGTAAAAACCAGTGACAGTCAGACGAAACAAACTGTATTCTACAGCCAAAGAGTTCCATTTTCAAATATTGTAATTACTTTTTAAATATTGTTTATGTAAGTGGGCTTCGCTCTGGGCATTTTGGAGGGAAAAGTGTCGTTTTTATTATGACTTTCAATTATTTTGTGAAATTTTGTTTAAAGTGGAATATGATAGTGCTATTGTGCGTTAATCGAAGATTAAAAAGCGAAATTATACGAATCTCAAACTAAATACCCGTATCGGCCCGTTTTAAGGAATCCCGAGTCAATCCAAGCACGCCGCCGCCGCCTCAAATTGCCTATCCTCTTTGTGGCGACCATATTTACAGAAACTTAATTAAACTTCATGTTTAGGCTGATGGCTTTGCCAAAGCCTTAATAAATTTAAAAAAAAATTATGTAAGTGGCCAGTTCCGGAAACTTATAGTGCGCCTTAAGTATAATATAAGTATGTTTTACAAGCCTACAGTCACTTATAGCCGGTTCTAGAGACAGAATTTGGTTGTTAACAGAAGTCATGATTTACACATGGCGAAAGGAATTTCAATTTTTATGAAAATGAAAGTAGTCTGCGGTACACTTACAGTTGTGTTTCTGTTAATCGACCGCATAAATATTGAATGACAGGTATGACTTCACTGTAGCACCCCATGGCCATCGTGCGATTTCGGCTGAGGGGTGAGCCCTCTGATAAAAGTTCTTGACATTCTTCATCTGCAAATATTAATCAACATTGATCTGTTTTACCTAAATTGAATAAGTTAATGATGAATGAAAGCTGTATAATAGAAATAAGCAAAAGAACGTTTGGATATTTGTAACACTCAGTATAATTAAAATCGATGGGTAGATGTCGATGATGACTTCGGTCTTGACTTCTTGTTTTTTTTCCATCATTAATCGGAAAACAATTATTCTTCCAATAGGGGTTTCTTGTGTGTCTCTGTAACGTGTCCTACGTTAGAGTAAAGTGGTGACACTGACCCAGCTGAGCACAATAGGCCCGTAAGGCCTGCGCAGCCGCAGCCCTGGCGGCGGCGGCGACGTGTGGCGCGGCGCCCGCGGCCTCACTGCAGCGCCCGCACGTCCACACGCACAGGCGTCCGTTCAGCGTGCGACGGGGAGACAGCGCCAGGGAGAGGTACATACGGAATATTTGGACCTGAAACGGGCATATTACTCAAATACTACCTAAGAGGTTACAGAGACGAAAAAAGAAAGAGTTAGACGACATAACTATAAAACTTTTAGTTTACCTTTATCTAATACTGAGAAAGAGTTTAATAATATTGCCATATGATTTACTCCAAGGTACTGACCTAGTATTTTGTAAACCGTCTTTACTATTATTACAAACATTACATATTTCATTTCGGGCATGGTGTCCCACAGATCTCTAGAAGTTAGGCGAAAATTGGCGCTTATAAAGTATATTTTTTACCTAATAAGGGGATATCTCAGTAACCCTCCTCTATTGGCTCAGACCCCTTTTTTATCTCACCAATGCCGCTGTACGTTCTGCGCCAGTGTCGACAGCCTCTGTTCGCTCTACATCTAATTTGCACGGATGCACTAATGTGGACACCATTCTACGAGGCTCTGTGATGATATGACGGCTCTGTGATGACCTCCTTACATCGTCATCCCATCTTTTTATCGCATTTTCTCCCGTTCCTGGCCACTTGTTTCTAAATTTTGAATAGTTCTTTAATTCCTTTGACTCGCCATTCTGATTTTGTTTCGTTCTATCGTCACTCCCTGCTCGATCGGGGCAGCGAACAGTAACTGCTCTAATTTAATTTGAGTCTGTCGTTGCGTCAATCTGTGATAATTATTACTTATCATGTGCCAATTTTAATACCAATGTGTAATACCGTATAAGTCGGCCCTTTTGGGGTAAGTGTCTGGACAGTTTATGTTAATCCGTAGAAAGGGAGTGTTTTATACTGCTGTAACTGTTTTTATATACCTTTTCTTGTCTTATTACGGCCTTTTCTTTACGTTCGACTTTACAATACATTTCTGTGGACGTGAAGTTTCCTATTTTATTGCTGTAATCCTGGTCACGGCGCATAGTGCTCTACAACCTATTCAGCTCTAGCCGTGATAGAATTTTTAAATGGTATTAATGTTATTGACGTGTTCAGTAAATTTCTGATATCGGCTGGTTACTACTTGGAGACAGTCACCGCCCGAAGCCCTGTGATCGAAATTTAGCAGCTTGCTTTTGGGCGGTGGTTGACTCAACCCTATATTGATTGTGGCTTACATGTTTAGTTTTTATTACTGTTAGTGTAAGTTGTACGATATGAATAAATGAATAAATATTGGAGTGCACATATTCTTTTTCTGTACGTCTGACTCGCCCGGGGCAACAATCGGCGAGCATCTTACGCTGATCAGAAAATCCTTTCACCACGATTGCTTGCCGCATTATAGTGTAAGCAATGGATAGGAGAAGAAGAAGGAGAAGAAGACAAACTTTATTAATTAATAAGTAGATATTAAATATCCAGCTAACCTGTGTATCAGGCAAATGGTACATAACTGAAGCCGTGGCGCATAGAAGCTGCGACGGCATCCATAGCGAGTCATCTTCTGGCTCTATGCCTCGATGGAATTTATCATCTCGAAGTATTTTCTGTAATAAAAATGTTAAGATTTACTCTATATCTTTTATAGCATGTTATACAAAATTGATTGTAGTTTAGCTAGTTCTTACGTGGAAGCCTTGAAGCGCGAAACTGACAAGTCTAGGTCGTTTGCTTTCAAGTGCGATCTGTAGCGGCAACAGGCACGCGCGACGCAGCTCAAACGAGGCACGCCGAGCGCTGCTTTCTTGCAGGCAGAGGATTTCTGTTTCGAAAATAAAAATATATAATATTTGGGACAGTTCCGTTTTTTCTACTACCATATCAATTTCTGTCTGATTTTGAAGGATTTGAAGCTGATGAAACTATAGGCAAATTGGAGTTTGTCAACTTTATGATCAATGTGACGGCCGCAGTGGTAATGCCACTCAGATTTTTGCCATTGATATTGATAACAGTGCACATACATACAGTGTAGTCTTTTTCCTTTTTTTTATGATATCAAGTGAAGGGACGATCAAGTTGTGCGCCTGATGGTAAGCGACACGCCTCTTTCCATGTCAGTTGCAATGTCACTCAGAGCTTTAAATTGTAAAGATCTGAGAGATACTGCCACTTTGCCCGTCATCCTAAAACATAAGTTGACAAGTCTCATGTGTCAGTAATTTCACCAAAAGTTCTTGACCTTATGCTAAACAAAATATCACCATCAACTTATTTAGCTAAATCAAATCACAAACAAACCACAAATGACCCCTATTATATTACGGCATACTTATTAGGCGATATGTAATTTATGACAATTTTTTTGTACCTACATAGGTCAGATAAGACGCATTCAATATATCTATTCATTGGAAACGGCATACTTATTAGGCGATCTGTAATTTACGACAATTTTATAGTGCCTACATAGGTCAGATAAGACGCCTTCAATATATCTCTTCATTGGAAATTAAATTATTTTTTCGGATCTAAAGATCGTATATTTGTTTTAATTTCCAATGTGTAAGAATCACGAAAGTCTAAGAACTAGGTATATCTATTCAGATTGACTATGAGCAAGTAATAAATTCGAATTGGAATATGAATATGTGTATTTTACTGCCTCCGTGGCCGAACAGTTACCATGCCGGACTGCCACGCAGAGGTTCCAGGTTCGATTCCCGGGCCGGGAGAAATATTTGTATGACCTACATTTATTTCTCTCGTGAGTTTGGATGTAATTTGTGGTTGTCTATGTGTGTGTCCATGGCACCCGCGACACAGGGTTTCCCTAGTGCGGGGCTATGTTGAGTGTGTGCGTTATTATTATTATTATTTTAAAGGTAATAAGTGAGTTTTTATGACATTTATAGTTCAAAACTTCAAGAGACAAAACAAGCATTACATAAATTATGATTCAGAAAGTTCCTCAGTTTATCCATAATAGGCACAAATAGGTGTTTTATCCATTATGACTTTATGTATGTGCTTGAGTTAAAGTGACGTTCACAGCTGACGATGATATAAGCCATTTCAGGCATGAAAATCAATAATAAAAATAAGTAGAATACAAGATAAAAAAACAATAAACTAAATTTTTATTACCCAAAGCATCCTGGCAAGCCTTTCTCAACGACGTTAATTTGGGTCCTGTGGCCTCTTTGAAGATGTCTTGTAAAAGCTCCTCCATGTCCGCCCATAGAAATAACGCGAAACAACACTTCGACTTTAACAAATGAAGTAAAGGTTAAGAAATATACACTAAAACCATGAAATTTGATATTTGACTAGAACAAATTCTTTATTTGCGTATTTCATATTTTGTGTGGGTGGCGCGTCCGCTTATCACTGTTGACGTGCACTGCCGGCGAGCATGCTCAGTTAAGAAAATCAATATTTCTATACAAGCCTCTCGTTTACGGCTTCTGTTACAAGGTGACGCAACAGGTAGTCCGGGGTAGGTAAATCAAATAAATATTAAAAAATACATTTTCAACGAAGAAGTGAAGCGTATCACAAATTATTTCAGAAAAGCAATAAAGATATTTATATATTATAGTATAAATGATGTGATTCGCACCTTGGGCGTTAGAAATATTTTGATTTTACTTATGAACATTTGGTTTTTCTACGCAAGTATTGAAGAAGGATAGAATTCATACAGTAAAATTATAATTTTTATCATTAAAATTACAACAGCTCATTTGGAAATTGAAATTCAGCGCACTGGAAGTCAGATTGACATTTATTTATGACATTGTTCTATTATTAATGGTCGTGCGGGTGCGTTCATAGTTTGTATTTTCTTCGTGCCTGTGTAGAATTGGGTAATGGAAAAACCATTTTGAAAATTTTTTATTTCAGAAAAACAGCTACCATTCCGGATATTTTTCCAAAATTTTTCCACACATGATACCTGTCAAAAGTTGAAGATGCTGAAGGAAAACGATGGAGATAAAGATTTTTTTACCTATGATTCTTTTTCGGTGTCGTCCAATCATTTTAAATCTCGTTTTTTTCTAACTTGCTTTTAACTATACAATTTTAACACAATAAAATTTCAAAAGATATTTGAATGTCCAATATAATATGACCAAATATAATACATTGCTTCAAATTATCTTTTTCCAATTTTTCAGAATTTTTTTGAGCCAGACTTTCATATAGTGTTGTCGCTATACGCGACGTAAAATGGCAATGTTATGTTTTTTTTTTGCTGCGCAACATTGGTACTTTGAAATGTAGTGTCAAAAATTGGTCAAAATAAAAATGGTGTCCTGGAGTGCATTAGGACGATCTTTTGGGATTAATTTGTTGAAAAATCATGTGAAAACACCTTATACCATCCAAAATACAACCTTTTCTACGAGCAACATCCTTAAGGCGGGCCATGGCAAGGTTTTCGCAATACAGCCATCAAGGTAAAGGCACTCGTTTAGATATAGTGATTATCTAATCAATTTTCGTTATTATACTGTGTTATTAAGATGCAAAACTTATATTCCTATGTTCCCTATTCAATGTTGATGCTAAGCGAATATAAATCTTGTTTAATAGTCTTTTTTTACATGAAAAATTCGTATAGCTAACCTAATCTAATCAAACAAAAAATATTTGTTATAGATGGCAATACCACAAATTCAAGGACATGTTGCACTTTTATGTGATGGTGGGATTGATTCCGGTAACAGCCATAATTTTTTACACGAATGTGTTTATTGGGCCAGCTCAGCTTACGCCCATCCCAGAAGGCTGCACTCCTAAACACTGGGAGTACCACCGTCACCCTATCACTAGATTCATTGCCCGTTATATACACAACAGCCCACAGCAGGTAACAGTCACTGATTCTAAAGAACCTTGTAATTTCAATTTATCTACTTATAGTCTGTTCCAATCCATTTTGAACAAAAGGTAACCAAAACCGTTTGTTTAAAATTCTAAAGTAACCACTCAATAATCAAATAAGTAACACTTCCACATACATTTTGAAGATTTCGACTTGATATCTCGTCACTTTTTCCAACAATATTCATTTGAATAGCATAGTAAAAACATATTTGAAAAATGATAGTCCAAAAGTGAGGTTATTTTTTTTTCATCTATACTTCTATGAATTGCCTATGGTTACATAGTGCTGTTCGAAAATATGGCAAGGACTTGAGTATGATTTTCAGTGCTCACTGCAACACTCAAGTCCTGGCTTGAGTATTGAGTAGAGTTCTGGAATATGACCCTAAGTGTAAGGATTTGAAGGAGGATTTAAATTGAAATTTTAAATATGCTTATACAGGTTATGTAAGGAAAACCGCTAGTATGACTGAATTGAACAAATCAATTCATTCAATTGATTAATCGATTTGTAGTTGGCATTACAATTGGTCAGTGGCTGAATTTTTTCTTTGATGATGGAAAAGGAAAGGAAATTGTGCCATGTAATTGCCGTCTCCTCCTCTCCCGTGCGTTCGTTCGCGCATCTTTCGTCGTAACCTGACTCGAAGTGATCGAATTGTATAATTTTATTTATTATGTAATTACGTCACCACACTATACATGCACAAAGTAGGTATATTTATATTTTTTTGTTATATTCAAGTACTTTTGCAATCTATAATATAACACACAGCAGTAACACAACATACAAAGAACACATACACAAATATTTAAGCAGTTTATTTTATTTTGTGTCACACGTCCATCACTAATCTCAGCTGAGGCACAGTCAATTATGGCTGTGGCATAAGCTGAATTAAGTCGTTTTGTGTATGCCACGACCGCACACGTGACTGTACAAAATTTGGAGTGGTTATATTTAGTATTTTTGGTTTTTTTCTGTTTTGTTTAATTTTTTTTATAATTTTGTTTATTACGTCTTTTTATATTATGTTGCTTGTCTAAGTGTTATCAATATTTTTTTGTAACTATGCATTGTGGTGTTGCAATAAATGTTTTTTCTATTCTATTCTAATTTAATATATATTATGAGAAGTTGGCGACACAAGGTTGTCAATCTGTCTATCCCCCACACAGTGTCTTAATAATGTTTTATACATTTAGATTCATGATAGGTTAAGAAGTTTTAGTTGTAATATATCAAGATTTACAAATCAATTGTTGAATATATTTCATTTGACAAGTATCCTGAGTGTGGTGCCAGTTTACTTCCATAACGAAAATTAAACAACAATATTAAATTTATTACAGGAATATGAGAAATTCTGTCATTTTATTGATGAGGAAGCACAGAAGGCCAAGATCCGTGCTTTGGAAAAGGAGATTGTGAGGAAGATGGCCGAACGCCACGATTATCAGGCATATTATTACAGACCCCTACTCAACAAGTACCTCAGACTCAATAAACAGACTGGACAAGAAATGTATGATCGCATGGGAGACAATTATGAGGAATAAGCGCTATCAAATCTTATGCTGTTAGTATACATTTAGTAATCAAGTGAATTGTTAAATATTACGATCTTGTAGATAAATAAATACTTATGTTGTTGCACCAATTCTTATTTTATTTGCACATGGACTTGAATTTGCTATAAATATTATTGAAGATGTAATGCTATTGAGGTTGAACAAAGTGGAACTCTTCACCATGAAATCATGTGTGCAGTAGCTGTATTTCTTTTTGGTACTTTTGAATTATTTACCAATGAATTTTGAAATATGTTACAATCTAACTTGCATAACCTGTGTACACCTTATTGAAATGTTACTTATGAGTTATATTACATACAAAATACATCTGTAAACATTCAATGAATAATTAATTTCTATGTAATATTTGAAATTTACTTCTTATGAAACTGGTAAAAGAATTGAATGACTACTACAAAATGTTTATGGCTTGGTTTAAGGCTTTGAAATGTAATGCCCTGTATTTTATTACTAGTACTTTTAATTTTAAATCTACTTCATTACTTCTGGTTGTAATATAATGAAACAATGAATTATGGTAACATTGTTATTTATTTTACAGGAAACTTCTAACGATTGACAATAAATTCCGACACATGGAACCCTTACAAAATTAATGTCAACACTTATCTAGCAATATGCTTATTACGCCCTGATATGATTCTACAATTTAATAATTATTATGGTTTTTAAATGTATAGCCGAGGACAGAGTTAGTTAACCAAGCCATTTTCAGAAGAAGCCATGTTGCCGTGATTGGTTGCTGCGTAAATTAGACAAGATATCGCCAAGATGTCATATAGACAAATTATGCAACATAGTCAGCGTCAAACAGTTCTGGGGGTCTACTCTCGATCTCCATCCGACATCCGTCCGAAACAATTACTGTCAAATAAGTAATATTCGACAAAATTAAAAGGCAAGTATCAAGTATGAAGCTTCATTCGCATCACGCGTCTTTTCATTTGGTCAAGTATTGCTTATTTGGCAGTAATTGTTTCGGACGGATGTCAGACGGAGATCGAGAGTAGACCCCCTGAACAGTAGAACTACGTTAAGTAAGTACACATCCAAAGTGCAAAATTGATAAATAGGTACCATGTGAAGTTAAAATCTAAGAACAACTTAAATTTATTTCCCATGTGGTTGATATTTATGAAATGTTGATATACTTTGAACACTCTGAACATAATTGACCAATTTGGAAGTGTCTACACATTATTTTTATTAGATAATTTTGATGGATTGCACGTGTACTCCTGACGATGTAAGTACAATTTTTCTTTTTGCGTAACTATATATATTTTGTACAAAAATAAACTAACTTTGCCTCCGTCTATATTTGAGTTTTTATACGCCATCATTGTTTCACACGAACGATTTACAGATATATGGAAATGAAAATGTTAGATGTAGAGTTTTCTGATTTATTTCAAGGCTTATTGTAATCACAATGTAACCTAAAACAACTAAATAATCAATTCCTTAAATAAATTACACGATCAAACATTTCATTTTTGCAAACTTCTGTACTTAAACAATAAGTACTCCCACAAATGGTTATGAAAACAATCCTTATAAGTATGTAGTATGAAAGCTTCGCCTAGAACAGAAATACGACTAACTCAGTATCTTACAAAAATAATTACTTTGGCGGTGCTGGATGCACGAAGCTCTTAACTACACTGTTACGTAAGTAAATTACAAAACGATATGGTTTCATTATCCCCTTCTTTCAGTCTTCGCAGTTTGTAGAGTTCCAATTATTACACACAACTATTTAGGTTGCTTCTCATAATAACGTTTCACTTTAAAACTATATACAACATCCCTAAATTTAATAACAATTGAAAAGGGAAAAACGCAGCTAAACAATTTCAATTTTCAACACAATGGAAATGTCACGGAAGTGGAAAACTAAACGGAATAATTAGTAATTTGTAATCGGAAAGGTAGGTTGGACTGACTAGATGGACAGTAGATTTGTTTACACGCTATTAAAATTGTCAATAATAACAAATGTCGAATCTAATACCTAAAGACGGCTACGAGTTCCTACAATGTAAAAGTTAAATGGTACCTATATCTATTTATTTTTCTCCTTTTCCTTTTCTGCCTGTGCTGCGAGCTTTGCTTCTTTTTTGGCCTTTTTCTTTTCTTCCTTCGCTAGCAGTTTGGCTTGTCGCTCTTCTTCCTTGGCAAGAAGCTTAGCTTGCCTTTCTTCCTCTTTAGCCAGAAGCTTTGCTTCTTTTTTGGCTTCCTTCTCCGCTTTGAGTCTCAGCTTTTCCTCTTTCTTTCTTTCTGCGTTCTCATTCTTTTTGTTGTCGCTGCTCTCATCCTTCTTATTTTTTTCTTCTTGTTTAGTATCGTCATCTTTCTTCTTCTTGTCTTCTTTCTTTGATTTAGCTTTGGGGTTTTCTTTTTTCCTTTCAGTCTCTTTGCTTTGATCTCCGGATTTGGGTGAGTCGTCCTTGTTCGAAGGTTTTAGAGGCCGGAAGAAATGCGGTTTATTCTTTTGCGGTGAGGTTTCTAGCTGCGTCACTATTTTCTGTGCACATCTGAAATTACAAACAAACTTTATAATATTTCTGTAAAATTAAAGATGAAAATTCCATGTAAAATTCGAAATTTGTAATTAAATACCTTATTCTAGTGGATGCGGAGGCCGCAGCGGCGCTTTCTCGCCGACCCTCCCGGAATTCCCTCTGGAACTCCCGAATTGGAGGTAACCGCCCGGAGGGTTCGCCCGCTGTCGTCGCCGGCCCTCCGGTGTAACTGTGTACTTGATATTCTTGCAGCCGGGCCTTGAAGACAAAGTTTTCAAATTTAATATGTACATCTCTACAGTAAGGAGAATCAAAAATATATAAACGTAAAACTCTCTTTCCACCGTGTTTGTTTACTAAGCTTTCTAAAAAGTGTTTTGATTACAAGGTTTGGGCGTACCTACTTACTTGTAGCCATTGACATATTAAAAAAGAGATAACTATTATTTGCGATCGTAGAGAACGTTACTGAGGTAGGTACTACATTTTTGTTAAATGTACCTTATCTGTTTTGGCTCATATCAATACATGTGGCTTAGCTCGCATTCTGTTCCGCTAGCTACTTGTTCACAAGGTATTTTATATTCTTGATGACTCTTTATGGATACTAATAATTTTATTAGTAAATATTCTTATTTGACTAAAGATAGGTATTATCTTAATAGTTATTTTAGGAGACAGATAGCAGAGTTGCTATCATATTATATTAATAACTCAGCCAAATCATTGGCTACCAGACCGGCTGCTTCTATTGAGCAGTCCGTTGTCATGGGTCAGTTTACTGACAATAATCATTCTGTTGAAAATAATTCAATTTCTAATTATTTAAATTAATTAATAAAACAACGGAGAGATACTCTTGCAACACAATGACAGTAAAAAACCAACCTAAAACACACAGAAATAAAATAATTTGTATATTAAACCTGGTGCATCAAAATATTCAAGGCATGAAAGGCAAAGATTTAGAAATATAATTATTTATTAACTGTAATAATATTGATATTCTTTGTATTACTGAACACCACTTTCTATCAAAACATCAGTTCATGTTTAGCTTCAACAATCACCAGGTAGCTAGTTCGTTCAGCAGAGAAAAAGCTATTCATGGCGGCTCTTTAATTTTTATTAAAAATAATTTAAAATTTAAAAAACGTACAGATATTGTGAGCCTATCTATTGAGCGGACAAGATATCCTGCATAGAGCTTGAATGGCTTGTTATATTAGGCGTGTACAGACCCCCTCATTCATCTTACGAACTATTTGAAAAAAGATTAGATGAAGTTTTAGGCAAATTAAATAATCCAAATAACTATATTGCTGTTCGTGGTGAGTTCAATGTTAACTTATTAGAAGATTCCAGTGCTAGCAGTAGGCTCATATAATTTTTCCAATGTTATAATCTTGTGAATATTTTCTTGGTGCCTACTAGAATAACTTCTACTGCTGCCACTTGTTTAGACAACATTTATACTAACGCCATACCCAGTAATAAATCTATTATAAATAAATTAACTTCTGATCACTGCGGTCAATTGGCCACTTTTAATATAACTGTTGACAAAATGCCAAAAAGGATATCACATGTGTTCCAATAATTAATGGTCGACTTAAAGCTTATAGAAATAATGTAATGCTTAAACTAACTGACATTCCGTACGTTAACGATCCCAATAAATTGTATATTTCAGTTTTCAACATAGTGAAAAGTGAACGTGATAACGTTATTAGGTCCAAAATCATAACTATTAATAATTCATTGAAATTTAGTGATTGGGCGACTGTGGAAATTCACAAAAGTAGACAAAGGCTATATGATCTTTACAATGAAAGGACTTATAACACTAGTAACAGTTTTAATGATTTTGTTAGGAAATATTCGAAAATGTTTAAACGTGTTTGTGTTGCAGCCAAAGCAATGTTTATAAATAATAAAATAAAAAGCAGCGCGAATGTAGTAAAAACGACTTGGAATGTTATAAACAGCGAAACTGGAAGGGTCAAACCTCGTAGCTTAGATTTTCAACTAAGATTTAATGACAAAATTGTAAACACAGATGCAGAAGTTGCTAAAATATTTGAATTTTTTTTACTGACATTCCAATTTTGACTACTAAGTCGTTAAATTCATCTCCCACCGCCGCTGAATCCTTACTAAAAGAAAATAATGCAGTTAGTATCACTAATTTAAGGTTCCGTCATGTATTTCCAAACGATATTGTTCAAGCCTTTAAGTCTAAAAACATAAAAAATACTGCTGATCTTGATGGTCTTTCAGTCAGAGTAATTAGTTCTATAGTTGATTGTATTGCGCCTTACTTAGCCTGTGTCTTTAATAAATGTGTTGATGATGGTGTCTTTCCTGACCTCATGAAGCAAAGTAAAGTTATTCCACTTTTCAAATCTGGTCGTATTTCTGACCCCACCAATTTCAGACCTATATCAATACTACCAACTCTCAGTAAAATATTTGAAAAAATTATTCTAAATCAGATGTGTGCACATTTTTATAGTAATAACTTAATGTCTCCTAAACAATTTGGTTTCACTCGGGGTCGCTCTACAATCGACGCTGGTGTCGAGTTGATTAATCATACATTTGATGCATGGGAAGTCTCACATGATGCTATTGGTGTATTCTGTGACCTTTCCAAGGCTTTTGATTGTGTGCACCATGATACACTGGTCAGGAAACTTCGCCATTAAGGTGTGGTGGGACGTGATCTCGACCTTCTTAAATCGTATTTGCGTGGTAGGGTACAGAGGGTCGATGTTAACGGTACGAGATCATCAGGGTCTGCAATTAGCATGGGTGTCCCTCAAGGTTCAATTCTAGGCCCATTTTTGTTTTAAGTTTATATTAATGACTTACCAAGCCTTATGGAGGGTATAAAACATGAGATAGTATTGTTTGCTGATGATACTTCCTTATTATTTAAAGTTAAAAGGCACCAATGTTCCTACGACGATGTGAACAATGCTATATCTAAAGTTTTTTAAATGCTATATCTAAAGTTGATTGGTTTGCTGTTAATAACCTACTTCTTAATGAAAAAAAAACAAATTGTGTGAAATTTACATTACCCAATGTTAGAGAGACGGTTACAAACATTGTAGTTAGAAACGAAAGATTGAATCTTGTGGATACAATTGTATTTCTAGGTATAACGTTAGATGCTAAATTGCAATGGGGTCCCCATATAAGTAAGTTATCAAAACGGCTCGGCTCTGCAGTGTACGCGATTAAAAAAATAAGGAAACTTTCAGACGTCGAAACCGCTACATTGGTTTACTTCAGCTACTTTCACAGTCTAATGACATACGGCATTTTGCTTTGGGGTAATGCCGCCGATATCAATAGAATCTTTGTCCTGCAGAAACGTGCAGTTAGGGCAATTTACAATCTGGGCCCCAAAGTATCTTTGAGAGATAAGTTTAAGGAAATTAACATTCTTACACTAGCCTCACAGTACATTTATGAAAATGTAATTTATGTTAAAAGGAATAGTAATTTCTTTATGAAAAATAGTGACAGACATAACATTAACACGAGGAATAAAAATAAACTAGCTTTTCTTGATAGTCGTCTTCACAAAGTCAAAAAATCATTTAAGGGGCAATGTATACGCTTCTATAACAAGAGTCCGGTTGATATACAAAATTTGCCTTTCACGAGGTTTAAAACTATAGTGAAACAAAAACTTTATACTAAAGGTTATTACTTCTGCATACTTGGATGACAAAAATCCGTGGTAGTACCCGTTTAGCTCATGGAGGTAGTCTCGATCTCTGATGTTTCAAATAAAAAAAAAATATTGTAAATGTTATTTACAAAGAGCAACCCCTAGAGTTTCTTGCTCATTCTTCTCAGGGGAATCTGCCTTACGAATGAGCGGTAGAGTTTAACCATTGTAACGATTTCAAGTGTAATAATGCTTACCTATGAAATAAATATTATTTTGAATTTGAATTTGAATTTGATGTGTACTCAAAGTATTGCCTGTATCATGGATATCTTTGATTTGGCATTCGGCATACACTAAGTACGAAGATTTTTTATAATACCAAGTGAAGGGACGAAGAAATCCTGCGCCTGTAGTTGCAGTGCCACTAAAGAGCTTAAATCGCAAAGATCTTAGGGGCATAGCCACGGCGCCTGTAATTTCACACGTACCCTTACCCTTCCAAACCGGAATGCACAGTAATGCTCTCATCAGTACCTACTTGGCGGCAGAAATAGGTAAGGTGGCAGTACCAAACTCTTTTACAAGGTGCTCTACTGCTACTGAAAGATAGTACCTTCATGCTATGATGCTGGCTTCGCCGCAGCGCATGGGAGGCGGGCTGTCGAGGCCGCGATGGCGCAGATGTGGTGGCACGTGGCACTGCGCCCAGACAGGCGCCACCGCATTTAGCGCCACCACATAGCTTCGTCGAGCAGGCGTTGCTCACATTGCCACCGCTATTAGATGAGACGGAAGACACTCCTACGACAAAAAGATATTGTAGACTAATGGTCAACCGGCGTTTTAGATTAGTTTGTAGAATGTAGAATGATAACTTTAGGTCGACAGTCGTGGATGGTCGATGGATTGAACTCTCGAGATATTTTACGACCTTAAACACCTACTTCTTACTTAACGATTATTCAAATTAGTACCCAATATTTATTATAGAAACGTACTGAACGTAAGCCACCTTACATTTTTACTTTTAAAGGACTGGGATACAAAAATATTGTTAAGTTTTCTCAGCTTATAAAAATTTGAACACTCGACAAGGACATACGGAATTGGCGTTTAGTATAGTAGCTACAAAATTGTATTAACAGTTTTTGATGAATTAAACATTTTTTTAAGCTTAGGGCATTTAATACTCAAAACGCAAGGTGGCTCGAACTTGTGTCCGGGACAGTGTTGTAAAAAACTCGAGTCCGGGAGTCTACTTTTATAAACTCGATAAAAATTTTTACGGCTCGGTAAGGCTTGGTGGCCTAAAACACACACGAGCCCGAGTCGAGTCAAGTGCTAGTCATTGGAGCACGGAGTCAAGTCAAAAAAGAACTCAAGTCGTACACTTAACTCGAGTTTTGAACAAAACTTGAGTTCGGAAACTCGACTCGAAGCGATTTCTACACTACAAAGTCTCGAGTACGACAAGCAGGGTTAAATTGTATTGGACAACTACTATTGTCCGTGATTTAATATTTAAATAAAAAACTTAAACCCAATATGGTGATTTAAAAAAAAATACAATAATTATACGATACAGTTTAACACAACACACCACAATACCGCTCGGTAGGTACAGTACTACCAGACTCAAGCTCGACTCGTTTCATAAATAGACTCGATTGCAAGTGTCGAACTCGAGTCTATTCGGAAACTCGTAATACATCGAGCAGTGGAGTCTCTGTCTTTATGAGTCGAGTCGAGTCTCGAGAATTGGAGTCGAATCCTAAAATATAGACTCCCGAACTCGAGTTTTTTGCAATACTAGTCCGGCAGTGTATGATTCAACATTCGCGAGTATGATCATAAAATAATACTGTATAGTAATAATAATTCAATCAACACGACGTAAAATATAACAATATGACTGTGGAAGACTGCAGCTCAAACCATGTAAAACTCTGTGTTTTGTGTGTGTGTATATGTAATGAACCTATTTATCTTGTTTTTATACACTTATACACAAAGTACAATTAATTACAACAGTGGTTCAAGAGTTCCACCATAACAATGTTGTTTGCAACTCCGCCTGTAATTAATAATAATAACGCACAAAGCTAAAGCCCACCACTAGGGAAATCGCGAGTGCCATTACACGCAAACTCAAGAAATAAATAAATATCGACCAGACACGTATTTCTCAAGGCTTGGGAATCGAACCCGAGACCTCTGCGTGGCAGATCAGCATTGGTAACCGATCGACCACGGAGGCAGCTAAACGATCTCCCGTCAATAGCAAAGTTAGGTGTTGTCATAATGTCCTTTCACTTGATGATGTATCTTGCTAGCATTCACTTTCGTTTAACAATTTGTTCAACACGACGGATTAAAATAATGTATCTATTGTGTAAAATGACGCTATAAAATGATGTAGGTAATAGGTTATGGCTTCTTGGTTTCGTGATCATTGACTGAATAATATTTTGGAAATTTGTATGTTACTATATCTTGAAATACAGAATATATATCTACATTTGTGTACTACTTTCTAAAGTTCAAGTTACAATGACATAATTTAGAGGAACATTAAAAAAAAGATTGAATTACCTATGTTAAAAACCACTTAAAAACGTTCTTATGAATCACTGGCCACATATACCCTAAATGTTTAATCGAAATCAAAAGACCATAGAAGTCATTCTTTTTTTAAATTAAACGTTCGGGTATGTGTAGCTAGTGGTTCATACGAACATTGTTATCATAAATCAACTTTTTTAGCGTTCTTTTAAATATGTTCATGAGCGTACATATTCTACATTAAAATATTCCACATATTTTATACACCTACACTACTCAGCAGAGTGCGATATAAATGTCAGACCATATTTCAACTTGCGAAAGTTATGAGCACTTTATAACAAATCAGAAACAAATAAGTATAGTATAAAAAACCGACTTCAAAAGTTGGCGGAATTACATCTATTTGCCAAGTTTTACTGAAATCGTTTACCGGAAAGTGCACGAAACCGGATTCATTCCCTGGTTTGCCACCCTTAGACCGATAGATAATATCGTTGCCCTTAGACGTGGAATATTTTCTTGAAATTTAAATGAGACCACTATTGAGGTACTTTCTTTCCAACAAAAAAATAATCATCAAAATTGGTTCACAAATTGTTATCGTGTTACATACATAAATAAAATACAGTCGAATTAAGAGCCTCCTCTTTTTTTAAAGTCGGTTAAAAACAGCGCCTTTCGTAACAAAAATAAAGGAAACATTTTTTTTGCAATTTGTACAAATCGCGAAATTCAGTACATTAATGGCATCACCGTCTACCTGTTATTCAATTAATCGCCAACGCGCCCGCCATTAATGGTGAAAATTTTTCCATTCGGGTTGGCCTACACTAGTAGCGACCTATACCTGCTAAATAGCATTTTGTGACTGTAAGAGGTCAATAATATTCTATTATAGCAATATTGCACCTGAGAGGGAAGACTCTCCACTAGTAACAGAGTATAGCGAGGCGGAGGCCGGTACGGAGCGCGCGCCCACCGAGTAGCTGGATACCGAGCCCGGTACCCCCCATGACGGTTTGCCGCTGCCGCTGCTGCTCGACACCTGAAATGTTACAAATACAAATAAATACCTACTAAAACAAACAATGCTGCATCACTACAATATTTTAATTATTTGTAGTATATTTTTATTACTTGTGTTAAAGGTGGAGGTAAATGTCTGTAAGGAAACTTGCATGGTAGAAAAAAGTCATCCACGTCAGTGTGGACAAAGTACGTACTGGATCAGACCATAGAGAATATCTGTGTCAAACAGTGGGATGTATAGATGTTGTTACAGTTACCTACAGATAAGAAATTTCCTTTGAAACAAATTGTAAGAAATGTCTATTGAAAAATCGGTACTGTGGAGATGGTTACAAACCTGCCAGCTCTTGCTGGTAACAAGTTGTGGCGCCTGCCGCAGTCGCAGGATTTTGGCGCGGCAGATGACGCACCGTAGCGGCAGCAGGCGCTGGCTGACGGCCATCTGGATGGTCTTGACGAAGCAGCGTCGGCATACAACGCGGTGGCCACAGGGCGACGTCTGCATCGTCGCTTTCGCGTTCACGCATATTACACACTGCAACATGGGTTGAACAGATTAGTTCCACACACATGAGCAAGCAACATACATCATATACACTCATGGATATATTTAGATGAACGCTAAAAAAGGTTGAATTATGATAAGAATGTTCATAAGAATCACTGCTCACATACCTATACCAGAAAGTTTAATTTGAAAAAAAAAAAAAAATGACTTCAATCGTCTTTTCATTTCGATTAAACGTTTTGGTATATGTGGCCAATGTTTCATATGAACGTTGTTATTATAATTCAAAAGTAAATGTGTTAATAAGTTCATCACAAACTAGACAAGCACTTAGGTGTATATCAAATTTGTTATAGATATGTACAACAATTAATTTGCTCGTCTCGTATCTATAAATTATAACGTTGAACTCGTATATTTATATTGTATAGCACTTATTGTTTTTTCGTATTCAATTGTAAAAAAACACATTATTATAATAACATGTATCGTGTAAATAATGATTTTATACACGTACGTACTAATAAAGTGGTTCCTAGGTTGTAGTGCGGCGAACATAATGAGAGGAACATTAGCGGCACAATGACCGTTGTGGCATTTTGTTTGAGAATCAACGTGACATGCTAAAATTTAAGTTTCGATTGCGTAGCGAAACTTCAATATTTTCGTACATTAGACATCAACGGCGTACCGTAACCTTAGAGGACGGAAAAAAATTAATTAGACCGTAACGGTTACATTTTTTTTTACTTACTTCTTCTTCGGGCGAAGTGGCAAGCTCAGGTTCGTTTTCTTCCAGCTTATTGAGCAATTTATCCTGAAACAAAGGACGTTGTCAATGCTGTTGGAACAACAATAAAAAGGTTGAGTCCATCTAATATTGTTATTGCTCCTTTCTGCCTTTTTCCTACCCAATGTCAATACATTTTTCAATAAAAAAAAGACGTTTTAAGAAATGCACCTTAGGTACTATCTACTTTCAATTGATTAAATATATATTTTTTTAAACTTTGTAATTATTATATCTAGGCAAATGAATAAAAAATGCATTCAATTAGCGAGTTACTCATTAACTCGGTCATGATTATGATATATCCAAATGAAGTTGCTTTGGAGTTTTCGCTTTTTACTTAGATTAAAACAATTTTTGGGCAATTAACCTTGATTCGAAATAAATGTTTTATTAATAGTAAAGTAACACACATTCAACAATTCGGACGTAGTGAATATGTGAAGTTATGCAAGTGTTAGTAAATTTTGGATTGTTTATTATTAACAAAATTATAGGGTTGACAAGTAAGTTTAAAATATTTATGCTAAAATCAATTCTGCTCTCCTTGTCTTTTCGAGATATTGGCACCTATTTTTTTTTGCTAGTAAAAATTACAATTACACTAATAAGTGTAGTTCTATTGTTAAGCAAATATGCTTAACAATAAAACTGAAACTAAATAAGTTAAAAAATACCGATTAGAGGCAGTTGTACTCGTAGCTCTCGTTTCGCAAAACCCAGATAGGCAAATAAAACAATTTTACTAAAACATCTATTATGTTTATTAGGACAAGGAGGGCAGAATTGTTTTCATTATTACTTTCGTTGATGTATTGACGCAATGTACGTATATGGTTTATACATGCGGGCACAGATTTTCTTAAAAACCTCCATCGACGTCAAAAACATTGAATGCTTTAGGGAGGCTCCAGCCTTAGTGCGCGTTAACATCGCCGCAGGAGATAACGTAGCATGAGTTATCTCCAGTGGCGAATACTTTCCAGGTGAAACCATTCATCAAATTGCTGAAGCCTTTATGCCTCTTCTTCCAGACAGTTTTATTTTAATTGTTATATGTTTTGTGTTGAAGAATAAAGTTTTTTTATAATATCCAACAACGGGACGAACAGTCGTGCGTATAGTGGCAAGCAACACGCCTGTCCGTAGTAGCAAAGTGTCATTAAGAACTTTAAATTGCAAAGATCTGAGAGGCACTGCCATTACTCCCGTCACCCTGAGATGTAAGTTGACAAATCCCATGTGCCTATAATTTCACTAGCACCCTTACTTTTCAAATCCGGAACGCCGTAATGCTCACGCTACTGCTACTCCCCTGGATAAACTCTTTCACAAGAAGCTGTACTAAACTAAAGTGTTAGTATTTTTATTTTACAATTATAGTGCTCTATCCAAATTTTGTTCTGACCTTCGTAGTACAGGAAAAGATTATATTTTGAAATTGTCTAGTACATTATCATTGTGTAATTAGATGAACACCATTGTCGTTTTGCTTAATTTAACACAAGTAACTACATACAATTTCGAGAAGTGTGATTAAAATCGGTGAGAAGTTGTTCAACAATACAAATGAAGGTCGGTACATACGTGGAAGGCACTTTTAATTCGCCTTAATAAATCGCCTTAGATATTATGTTTTCTTTACGTCAATTGTTACGTGCATAGAATCCTTCATTCCTTTTTTAAAACAAACCAAGGAAAAATCAAAGTATTGTTGATACATAATATCTATGTTTTTAGAATACCTACATTTTTACTTTACCTACAATGGGACAATGGATAGTAAAGTATAAATATATATTCAATGGAGACGATTAAATGTCTATTTGCGGTCAAAAACAATTTGCAAGTTTTATAAATATTATTAATGTTGTTTAAGAAACTTTTCTACTCGAATATTTTAAAAGTTTTTGTAATTTGCGAATTTGTAAATTTTTTCAACAAGTTGGATACTTGTGTTACAGCGATGTAGACTATACTTTTCCACTGTTTGTAATTTAGTCAATGTGAAAATGTAAACTTTCGTTACCTATTTAATAGTAATTTCGCGGGTTATATTTTAGTAGGTAAAGCAATCAATTTACCATTGTCTTTATCTCAAAATATTTACGCAACCGGCGTGACGCTTAACTTGGGCATGGTAAAAAATTTGGCAGTTACCAAATGGAAGTCGGCCGAAGAACAATCACCGTGCTCTTTGGCCATATTCCGTGACAGTATAATAAAATCGGCATCGGTTTATCGGTTTGTGAGACGTCATTCCAAACCATCATGTGAGACAAAATTGACTCTATTTTAAAATAAAAACCGAGATTACATCGATTGCGGCGGTTAAGGTTGAAGTTCATAATATAAAAATGCTAGAAAATTGCGCTATTGTACTCTACTTTAAGTTTATATTACGTGAGTTTTCCGCATGTGATGCAGTGGATGGCCGACAGCTAGTCAGAGAGGTTAAATAAAAAAAAAACTAGGGGAAAAAAAGATTTATAAAAACAAGTTTCAATTCCCGCATTGTGAGTGGGTCGTTACGGGTAAAATGCAACGCCGTGGACTGAGATGAGTTTTCCGCGCTAGTTTTTCCTAATTGCTTGTAAAGTGTTTGGAATATGTTCACCGAATCTTTAGCTTCTTGCAATATCATTACATTTTTTATTGGTAAGTTGCTTAATTGGAAAAATAATAATTTCGACACTATTTGAATAAAACATTAAAAAGTCACAAAATTGTTGAGAAAATATTAATCCGAGTTACATTTTTTAAATTATCTAAAAACAAATTACCTATCAACGACATTTTGTTTTGTTATCGATGCTTTATTTTCGCTCTGTTCTGCGGTCCATCATTTTGAAATTAAAAATCTAAGTCAAGGAGATCATAAGTAACTTAATACTTTCACATAACTCTGAAAAAAAAATTAACGCCATGAAACAAAGTAAATGTTCGACAAATTCTATTTCGATAGCGATCTATGAAATGTTATCATCTAAGTTCGATCCGATACTGTCCCACAATAACTTTCCGGCCGATACCAAGTTTAAAAATTTGTATTTGTAATTTGTGTAAAAATTAATTAATTTATATTGTTACTCAAGAATTTTGATAAAAGAATCATAATTTACTCAAACGCAAACTGATATTTTTTACAGACGGTTTCAATTGTCCTTTTTTATGTATACAAAGATATAAATTTGTAAACCTCGTAACTCCGTTTCTGGATGACATCCCTTTTTTACTTTTCATGCGTAATATCGGGTAAACAAAACTTAAAACACGTAAAGGTATAATAATAGATTGTCATTTAATATTCCTAGATTCCTAGTAATTCTGTTCTTTTTGCTTGATCAAAAGTTCACATTACGGGGTTTACGAATTTAGGCGACGAAAAATGTTGTCACCTGTCTAACCATACGATTTTTAAGCGAAAGTTGTATGAAATTTTCTAAGAATTATTATATTCAAAGCATACAAGGAACATTTAATACTATAACAGTTTGCATTATAGTTCAAAATAATAAATAAAAGGAAATAAAATATTATAATCAGACTTAATTATTGTGTCAAGTATTTTGCTGGATTATATAATTTAGATGCAACAATGCGGATATTTTTAATAATCAGCTCCTTTTTTAATAGTAATATGAACATTGATGTCAGGTCCAAACGTAACAGTCAAACTTTACGTGATTTTAGATAACAAATAATCTGTTTTAACAACTCAACTGTAAGTGTGTACGTATTTCCATGATCGTGTTTATTAACCGACCAAAAAAGGAGGAGGTTCTCAATTCGACTGTATGTTTTTTGTATGTATGTGACGCGATAACTCCGATATTTGTGATTATGTTTTTGTTGGAAAGAAATTGCCTCGGAAGTGGTCCAATTTAAATTTGAAGAAAATATTCCACCTCTAAGGGTGGCAAACCATGAATGACTTTTGAGATCGGTTTTCTTAGTACTCTGTACTGAGATTATTTCTAAACAAGTCATAATACTTTATTCTTATATTTTCTTGTATAAGATGAATCTTATTCCATGTTGATCTTCACTGAAAATATGTTGCCTCAGTAGAGGTTATGAAATAATATAGTACCGATTGAAGAATATAAATCGACGAACAACATGTTTATATTTGCAATATTAATTTTTATTGAATTTAATGCCATGTTTTATTATAGTTTTTATTACCACGATATCCATCTATTTATTGTGAAAATACGCCACTAATTTACGGCAAAAAATATGTTTGAACGTAATACAAAGACCCGCAATAAGTGCATAGAAAAATTCATAAGAACTGATGATTCGTTTCGTAATCTCAGTTGGTAAGAACGGTAGCCACGTTGAAACAACACACGCTGGTTCGAGTCCAGTAAGACCGAACGAATTTTTCTTTGTATTTATTTGATCTTTGTGTCAATAATAATAACGATTAGTATTCTTATTTTATGTTAGAGGTACAAGTTAATTGGTGTGGTTGTTGGGTACGTTTATCATTTGTAATTTTCGAAATAAAACGCGTCAAATTAGAATAAAGCAAAGGATATTCGTTGACGATCACGTCAACGTTAATATCAATTAAAGTTTAAAGAAACTATAGTGTTCGATTACAGCATCGTTATAATCAATCGATTGAGTTTTTATGACATGACATAACAATTTTGCACACGTTATATAAAAAACTTAATACTAAATAAATAATAAATACTAAATCTAAACAAAATGAAATTTAACTTCACGTATTTTTATTTGGCAGGTATTTCGGAAATATGTTTCATGACTGCACCTGTAGGCGATTGCCTGCACTGCTGTCCCAGAAACGATGCCCAGGACATCCAGTTCAGACTTTTCACCAGGTATATTGTCGCATATTGTGTGGGGTGACACAAAATTTCACATTTGCGAGAATATATTAAAACGTTCGGCTATATAGAGCTTGTCAGTCAGTACGAATATGTTCGCGCGCAGATTCGTAAGATGTTCGGGAGAGGTGAAGGTAACCCTCTTCAGAGCGTATTGTACCACACTATATACATGTAATCTGTGGCGAGAGTATACGAACATGGCTACAGGGCCTTTGATGGGGCTGGCCCGTCAGTGGCGCATCAGGGATGTTGGCTGACACGCACGCATAGAATTTTTGTCGCAATTTTGCGTAAGAAGTGCGCGTCTCTGGTGCGCTGTATGCGGGCCAGCCTCTGCTCTGCTCTCCACGTCATAGGGGATGAATGCCCCTATATTAGTTAATACTGTTGCGGATAACACGCGTCCGAATGTATAATTCAATTAAAATTTTTACTTATAATAGAATAAATGCACATCTTTACATACAAGTATATTTATTATTATATAGATTAAGAGATGGCCGTGTTCCCTGCTGTGCGATTCACGTAAATTCAAGCTATCAAAATGTCGTTGAATTTCGATCGAAGTCCTATCCAAAATGGGTATTCACGTATCACTTGAACGAACGTTGATATGAGTAGAATCGAAACGTAACGACTAATGAACGACATCTTGGATTTTGAAATTTGACATTTAGTCGTCGAAAGTCTATTGAAAGAACTGTCAAAATTTTAGCAGACTACGTATGACTTGTTGTTTAGAGTCGATTTAAGTTTGATTCTTATACCAGAATACGCTTTAACGACATTTGGATCGAACGACTTTAAAATTGGACTCGTTGAGGTTCACTGTCACACGTGAATACGAAAAAGCAGTTCGACGACTAAATCGCTACGATATCGTAACGGTTTGATTACGTGAATCACTCTGCGCACACCATTTGCAATGTTAAGGGTGGATCTATGGATAGGCGATGGTGGCCAATTTACATCAGATGAACTATTGTAAATAACAACATCTGATTTAATCACTTATTTTCATTTGCGGCGACTAGAGTACAGTGGGACATAGTTAAAAATATAAAATATCTTTGTTTAAAATTTGTTCTTGCGTTTCCTCTAAGGTTTGTATCTGTGGCGTTAAAAAAACATCACTTAGCTTAGATCCGTTAATGTAACATAAAAACTTTTTAGTGATAATTTCAGATCGCAGTAAAAAGCACTTTTTGAAATTTTTATTTTTTTAATAGACTGCAAGGAGTACAGTAACAGAACATAAGTTTATTTACGTGCCTTAGCTTTACGTATGTTCGTACTTTTTTAATTAATCAAAATAGTAGTTTATGTGACTTACATAATGAAAGGCATTAAAATGCGAGTGTGTGTTTATGAAACGAGCCGACAGGCTAATTTCATAAAAACATCACACGAGTGTTTTAATGCCTAATTATGTACAGTTACATACACCGCTTTATCTGTACTACACATATTATAAGCTCTCTTTGATGTGTTCAGAACCGCATGTTACGACTGGCGAAATGGCAGCAAATAAAAACTTTTCTCACGCATGTCACGCAATCGTACTTTTTTTTTTTAAATTCATAGACAAACTTGACTCGTCCCCAACTATCATATCGTTCGATGTCAAGTAACGTGTGAAATTTGTCAAAACTGTTTGCTATTGACATTTCATTTCGAATAAAACTTCATCTCGACTGATATTAGAATGGAGGTCGAATCAAATTGTTTTGTTTTTCAGAGATGTTCGAAATTTGAATGTAATATTAAAATCGAATTTGATGTTATTATTATGAATTAATAACATTTTCACAGATAAAATATTTGGTCTAACAAAATAGTTTATCTTTATGCTGATCGTAATTTGCGGTTTTTGAAAACATCATAGAGGGTTTATGATATGTGTATAAATAAAAATAATAACTTGGTCAATTCGTCATTTATAAGTATGCTTGTAAACAAAAGCACTGTTATCTGTGATCGTTTGTCATGAACACGTATAAAAATTATCAATTTTAAACGAAGCATTATTTCTCCAGGTCGAATCCAACCGTCTTCGAGCTGATACCGCAGGGCGACGCGAACGCATTACGTCGCACGTCCTTCAACCCTGTTAATCCGACTGTCATTTATTTGATGGGCTTCTCTGAGACAGTCGCTGGACCCAGTACAATCACCTTGAGAGATGGTAGAGTCAATTTATTACCAATTTACTAAAGGAAGATTATGTTTTTAGTTTAGTTTAGTTTAGTATATTTCTCTCAACATTACAAATTTCATACAAATACAATTACATGTCATTTTATACTACTCTTCGAAAAGTGAGCACCAGTTTACAAAAAAATGAAGAAATAATTGTATAATAATGCATAATAAATAATATATAATAGTATCCTCTATTTGTCTAGTACTTAGTACAAATAGTGGATATATAAGTAATACAAATCAACATAATTACTGAAACTAATAAAAAATGAATTAAACTAACAATGTCAAGTGCATACAGGAAATGTCAATATAAATTCTTAATAACTAATAAAAGTATATTAAAGTATAATAATATGGTGAATGTCAAATTCATTAATAAATATAATTGTTTAATTCTTTATTTAGTACTTCGAATGTACTCTGTTACTGAGTAAAGGGACTTTTCCAATACAAGGTTCTTCAGTTTGCGCCTGAACGTTTCCTCACAACATTCATTTTTTGGTTCGGTTTGGGTCGGTCCTACAACCCGCGAGATGGTAATTATCTGTTGAAACTCCGATATGATTTGATTGAAATTTGATTAGATAAAGTACTTGGTATTATAAAGTCACTACTGCAAAATGACTACTTTTCAGGAGAGAGCTTTAAAGATTCTATGAATGCAATTAGTCGATAGTTTTGTTATGCTTTAGGCTGCCAACAGATTGACTGCATATTTGCAGTTAATGCTTGTAGTCGTTATCAACTTCATGCAGTCGAGATTTCGGATAACGACTTCACGCATTAACTGCATGCAGACGACACCGACTTTAAAATTAAAATAAGCTTGAGGGAGCACCTCATTTGAAAAAATGAGGTTGTACAATGTCCTACTTCAAATGAGGTGACTACGGCAACGATTCAACTGACAGGGAATATTAAGCACATTTTCATAATTTGATGGTATCAATCAATTGGATAACTTAAGTGTTATGATATAGTATAAATAAATGCTAATTTTATTTAGTACTATGATAGTGTATGATCATAATGATGTCAAATCAGATAAAAAGCGCAGGACTAATCACTGTTGCATTCCCTCAATATCAATACTGTATATGTATTTTATATATTATTAATAAATTTCTAGAAAATAAACTGAATCCAAATGTTTATAGCATTAAATAATAATTCTTCAGGTAAATAGATATCTACGTAATATTGGTAAGGTTAAATTCCTTTCATTCCTCAAACTTTTTAAAGTAAGTAATAAAACCAAAGAGATTTTTAAAGCAATCGGTCACAAAACATCTAAATAACTATTGCCTGGACACTTAGGAGGACGGAAAAAAGTTTTATTCTCTAAAATGTTATAGCTCCATCGATATTTCTGCCAATGTCAAGATAAAGGAACAGGCGAATATCGATAAATTTCACTGAGAGGAGAATCTACAACAAAAGTCTTATATAAAAAAGCAAGCGAAAAACGCAGTGAGAGACTCGTGAACCCGGCGTTAAGTTAAGCCTGAACAGGACAGTGACATTGACACTTTGTAGTTTGTGTTGTGGTACACTTCGTTTCGTGCTCGAGAGCTCGTGTGATCTCAACTTAGAGGATGGAAAAAAAAAGGATCTCAAGTCACAGTGACGTGCTATGTCTTACTCACTCTCTCTCGAGTTCCGCGTTGTCGTATACCTCGCCTGAACACTTCAATGCTCGTGCTCTTTCATTCATTCGAATTCGAATCAATGTGACATGAGTGATGCTGTGACATGAGGCTATGACACGAGTTGAGGTGGGACATTTTTATGTCATGAGGTGTTGTGACAAACTAACCAAGCGAGTGGTACAAACGAGTTGCCTCGTGTATGAGTAACTCGACACTACAGCCCAGATCGACTGCATGCAGTTAATGCTTGAAGTTGCAATCAACTTTATGCAGTCGAGGTCTCAGCAAACATACAATCAATCTGTTTGCCGCCTAAGTAGGAGAGTTATAAAGTTATAACATTTTACATATGAATAATTTGTTTCACTTAAGTCATCATATTTTAATGACTTTCATGTAATACAATTGCAACGACAAAATTGGTCGAACGGTTACCATGCCGGACTGCCATGCTGAGGTCCCAGGTTCGATTCCCGGGCCGTGAGAAATATTTGTATGGCTTACATTTATTTATCTTGTGAGTTTGGGTGTAATTTGTGTTTGTCTATGTGTGTGTTTATAGCACCCGCGACACAGGGTTTCCCTAGTGCGGGGCTATGTTGAGTGTGTGCGTTATTATTATTATTACTAATAATATAAACACTTTTCACATATTATTTTTTTTAATGATACCAAGTGACGCGACGAACAAGTCGTGCGCCTGATGATAAGCGACACGCCTGTCCATAACAGTGGCAGTGCCACTCAGAGCTTTAAATCGCAAATATCTGAGGGGCACTGCCACTGCGCCACCCTGAGGCATAAGTTGATAATTCCTACGTGCCTGTAATTTCACCCTTTAAAACTAGAACACAGTAATGCTCACATTACTGCTTGGCGGTAGAAATAGGTAATGTGGCAGTACTTCCCAGGACGAACTCTTTCACAAGGAGCTCTACTGCTACATACGAATGCTCACATGTGGTTTTATTATACCAAGAGTACGAATTCAGTTGGACACGAGACTCTCTGGAACATGATAATTTTGTAGTCGTCTAAACTGCAAGATTTCGTCATAGTCGAAGTTATCAGTAACTTTTGTATTGTTTATGTTCATGATTTTTCTAGACACCATAATCGCTTTCCGTAAAATCTGAAATTTGCTACGTAACTTCTGAAACTTTAATACTCCGATTTACCGATGAAATGCGCCAGAATTCATGAATCAATTAACATTTATGTACGCGACATGATTTTTCTATGCAACATATTTGCATTCCGTAAAATCTGAAATTTGCTACGTAACTTCTGAAACTTTAATACTCCGATTTTACCGATGAAATGCGCCAGAATTCATGAATCAATTAACATTTATGTACGCGACATGATTTTTCTATGCAACATATTTGCATTCCGTAAAATCTGAAACTTGCTACGTAACTTCTGAAATTTTAATAATCCGATTTTACCCCAGATGCGCTAAATGCGATTACAACGAAGTGCGCCAGTGCGCCAGAATTCATGAATCAATTAACAATCACAGTAGCTAACATTTGCTTAATAATTGTGTTGTGCCACTAATATAAGCTTTATGAGCTCGAGCCGCTTACAGGGTAATTTATTATTTATGGGTGCGAAATTGCCTATAAAGTCAGTCTGACTATTCGAAGATATAAGAAGAAGATAAACATAAGCAGCAAATCGAATAGTCACTGTCAATAAAGTTTGTGATCAGTTTTCCTTCTTGCTAAACGTCTCTGCAATCAGTGCTCTGTATATCGAGTCCTCAAGTTCTCGCGATTGTTACATCAAAATAATTTTTCCGCATATTTTTGTTTTTGAAACACATAATAAATACGTTTTGGGCCCTTTTACAGGTCCCATAATCAAACCAGACTCCATATTTTGGTCAACGGCCTGAAACATTTAGTTAAAAAAAAAACATCAAAAATGCGCGATTTAGACCCGAAAAAAAAGAGTTTTGATCAAAGTTTTTTGTATTTTCAAGTTCCCTTAAGTCTTCTCCTTGTTGATCAAGACGATGAATAGACGTACAACAATGTGTCTTCTTCCGCATACATACAGTGAGATACTCATATCTAATATATCATCTGGTAGAAATGTTAGCTTTTGTAGAAATTTTGCTTCGCTAATCCATTGGCTACAAAGGCCCGTCTACACAGTCGAACTTCACCACGAGTAAACTTGTATCACCCAAGTATGCGTTGGTATTTGTTTGAAAACGATACCCTTACTACGATTTTTTAAGCGTTAAATAAGTCGATGTAGGTTCGGAAATTAATATAGTAGCTACATAAAAATGTAAGTTGTGATGTTTATGCGTCAATAACGACACTACCGATCAATGTGGAGTGTCCGTGTTGATGCTGATGAGGCGATGTGGATATATACAGAGTGTTTTTTTAAATGGGATAGTATACGAAAATCCGAAACCATAGGAGATATAAGGAAACTGTCTTGGGACATACTTAGTCCTATATTGTGAAAACAATTTTGGCATCATTTTCAATATGGTTAAAATTAAAATACATGTGTATTATAGGAAAGTATACAATCGGCTTTAAATGTCATGCCACATACATAAATATCGAACATAAAACAAAGAAGAAAAATTTAAAAAAAATAATAAAAATAAATTCAAATAAAAATAAAAAAAGCACGTCAAAATTACATAGCGCTCGTTGTTATTCTGCCATGTCCGCCCGTCATGAATGGGTACACCACAATTCAAATATAAATATGTTACATGTTACGTACAAAAAAATACAACTTCAAATAATTGTAGACAATTAGGCATTCAATAAATAAAATTTGACGCAAACAACAATTCGACAAAGAAAATAAAAATAAGTAATTTAAATTGCATAATACCAAACATACACAAATACATAGACTGACTCAACTGTGACCATGGGACTTGTAGGGCCGGAAACGTGTTGGTTTGTTTGAAAAAACAAATATACGCGATTTACATCCGAAAAATAGTTTAATCCTAAATAAAGTCCAAGTTAATAATTAAAATTTAAATACTCTTAAAATTAAAATAAATTGACATTTGAAACATTTTGAGTACTCGCATCTTGGAAAAATAGTTTTCACAAGTTTATTTTTCGACTTATTTAGTCTTTCTAAAATACTATTAATGCTTTTTTAACAGGGCATAAAAATCGTCCACACTGTTCAGGGCAATGACAGACATGCTACATGGCATTCGTTACATGGTGCGAAATGCATTATATTGTACTCGTAATGTGTTGACCTAATTGTTTTCTAGAAATACAGACTTACTGATATGTGCAGTGGATTCTATTCCTTTGCTGTAGGCGTAAATCGTCTTATTGCAAAAAGAGCCTTTGTGTAGAAAGACAAGTGGTTTTTCCACCCTGGCATGCGGCGAGTAGCGGAAAATGTATGTCGACGGTAGAAAGTTTAAAAGTGAAATGTAAGGCACTCATTATGGTTGATGGTCTTATGACAAGATAAACGTCGCCATTGCCCTTTATGAATTTATGAACAGGTTAGAATCGTAATATTATTAAGTTTTTTGAATATAACGATGTTTTACTGCCATGATGTTGGGAAAGCGTCAGCCAGCCAGTGGGCGGTGGTTCAAATCCAGCCCGTTCGAATTATTTGCCTTTTTATTAATAATATTAACAATTTCTTTACTATTACCAATTAAAGAAGTACAAATCCAAAATTCCAAATGTAAAAAAAAACATTTCTAGACGTTATTTAATTGTGGAACTTGTCTCTTGAACTAGGTGAACCCGTTCCTTAAGAGTAACTTTATTGGTAAACAAATTAATATTTATTTATTCATCAAACACATATATTTAGAAAATCACATAATACATGTGAGTCTGATTTCTATTACTAAGTTGATAAGGACGAAGCCTCAGCATAGTGTTGATTTTCACTCTCCGCCTGTGTTCTCTGTCGGACATTGTCGGAACATAATTATTATACTTCTAAATATTAATTACACTTTAGTAGCAGTAGAGTTCCTTGTGAAAGAGTTCCTATTTCTACCGCCAAGCAATAATGTTAGCATTACTGCGTTCCGGTTTTTAGAGTAACGGAGCTGGTCATATGGGACTTGTCAACTTATGTCTCAATGTGACGGGAGTGGTGGCAGTGCCCCTCAGATCTTTGCGATTGTAAGTTCTGAATGGCACTGCAACTGTTGTGGACAGGTGTGTAGCTTACCATAAGGCACGACTTGTTCGTCCCGCCACTTGATACTATAAAAAAAAGAACAAAAGGTCTACAACAAAATAATCATCGTTAATCTAACTATTTATTTACTGTAAATACTTTTGGAATATTATTATTAGTATAGTTGTTTAACAGTAAATAAGGACCTTATAAAATTATAACGTTTAGGTTTGTTTTGTTGAGGACCTGATAAAATTTATTATATATTCATATGGACAAGGTCGAAGCAGCTTCAATTTCGACACATAGTTCACGCCCTTTTGCCATCAGTGTAGGCAGAGCAACAGCCTTAAGAATGCGCCGAGGCAGCGATTCGTAATTGCGAAACAATTGCGTTCGTTTGATCCCTTGCTGTATCGTAACTATTAAGGCTTTAGTTATGAATTTATTGTGTAAGATATTTAAGTTTAGTTTCATTTCCTATGTGTAACAATCGCGAAAACCTAAGGACTCGATAGATATTTAAGGATTTGCTCTATAAATCATACTCTTTAGAAATATGATTCTTGTAGTTTTTACGATAGAAAAAAAAATCCGTATTTATCTCTTAACAAAATAAACCCTTGGTATGGCATAAATATTTCTCGGATGGTCATTAGTTTTTGAATAATAACAAAACTACATCATTTCCATAACGTATACTCCGTACATTTTCAAAATGTGTATTTGTTTTAATAATACGAAGGAAATACCTAAATACGCACGTGATCCGCCCATACTAGCCAGTAGAGGTGGGCGTTTAAACGAGAAACACAAAAATGTTTGCTTTTTAAAATAAGCACATAAGCACGCTTTTCAATATAAGCGTAAGCGTCTGTCAGCGTGCTTATGTTTCAAGTTCCACCATCTATGTTTCCTAAACAAATTAATTCGTCAGTGTGAATAATAATTTTATAAAATAAAAATTAAGCTTGTTCTACAAATAAACTTACTTACTTTAAAACCTTTAGTGGTCTACTCTTGCTTTTCGCTATCAACACAACGTTGCATGCTTTTTTAACATAAAAGTCTATGCGCAAAGGTTTTTCTAAACGATTTTGTAAGCTTCAAACAAAAAAAGCATAACCTTTTAAAAAATGAGCAGTTTTTCCCATCTCTACTTGTAAGAGCCGCCTCGCTTTCTCTCTGTCAGCTTCAGTCCAGCATAAGCCATCAAACGAGGAAGTTGTGTCGCTAGGGCTTACATACGGCTTTAAAAACGTATGCCACATGCACGTAGCGCATTGAATACCTAAAATCAATTTGCCTCAGAAGCTCGGGGCCCTCTTAAACTTGCTACGATCCTGTACACATCTTTCGCTTCATCATACACGCTTATTGGTTAAGGGTATTCTTGACCCGGCTTCTTAGGACGTCCTCAATTTGGACATGGTAAGTTCGCCTTGGTCGGTCCTTACCAAATTGCCCACTCACTCTCGCCTTAAATCTGTTACGTCAAACTTCTTTCATTCATTCTTTCTACACGTCCGATCATACTGTTCCGTAATTTGTTCATAAGGGTCACTTTAGTTATACTTCTCAAAGCTCTGCTCTACTCTCGTGCTACACATATATAGTAGGTAACACGTGTTTATCTAATATGTATCTAATTTTCGCCTTTTCCAGCACATTTGTCAACCGGCAACTACAACTTCATATCTGTGGATTGGTCACGCCTCATTGCATTTCCCTGGTAAGGCTTTATATCTACATTTTTCTTATACAATGTTATGTAAAACTGTATCGAATAGATTTCATCATCATCCACCGCCGCCGGTGTCGACTTCACTCACTGTTGGCTATTGGTCTACCGTAGTTTATGATATCCACCGCCACCACGATTCTGTGTTAGTTTCATTCATCTAAGGACGCAACTTTGACGATGTTGTCCACCCATTTCTTGACCATCATTCGATTAACGCTTGATTCCATCTGTCTTAGTTGTGTCATGGTTCGTTATCGGATGTCCTATGTTCTGGATCTTAATTTGTTTTCGGATTTCTTACAGAAAACATTTTACAGTCCCACATATTTACTTACATATCCGTCACTAATAATTACTTACCAACTACCTCCATGGCCGAAAGGTTACCATTCTGTTTTGTCACATGGTTCGATTCCCGGCCCTGGAGAAATATTTGTGTGGTTTAATTTATTTCACTCGCGAGTTTGGCGTAATTTGTGGTTGTCTATGTGTGTTTCCACGGCACACGCGAGAGTGCAAAAAAATAAATATAAAAAATATCCTAAATAAAAACAACTGAGAAACAGAAATGTTTTTCTTTAAATTCAGTTAAATTTCATATCGCATTTATTAGCGAAAACTTAGGCTAAATGTCAAAGAGAAGAAAAGTATACGATAATGATAAATTGCAGTCGAAAGTTTGCACTTCATAAAGTTCGGACACTAGATATTGCGGTCGCGGCAAATTGATTTTAAAAGAAGACTATTTGATCGAGACGTTGATTGAAATAGAGCAGTTATGAAACCAATTACAAATAATGGAAACACGCCGTAAAGTACCTTGATCTTTTGTTACTCAAGAAAATTAACAGACTTATTTAGACATTGATTAACATTTACGTTTACGTGTTACAAAAAAGTCCTTGAAATGTACATAATTTGCATTAGTAATTATGCAACCTGTAAACTCTACCAATTTAAGTTACCGTCTATGCCTACGTATGTTAACCAAGAAACAATGCAAATTAGTTAGTAGGGTAATAATGCATGCCCTTGAATTTTTCGAGTTTGAATATGTGAATGAAATAATTTACATATATTCAGTCACCACAGACGCGAGCCCACTATACTATATTTAAATTTATCTCTCCAGCCAATCATTAGGCGGTCGCAAATATTTAAGAATGAAACTATTTTTGATTTTGAGAGCTTTCACCGGTAGTCAATATTTTGTAATTTTTTTTTATGATACCATAGTGACGGGACGAACAGTCGTGCGCCTTATGGTACCGACACGCTACTCAGAGCAAATTGCACAGATCTGCGGGGCACTGCCACTGCGCCCTTCACTCTGAGACATAAGTTGATAAGTCACATGTATCTGTAATTTCACTTTTACCAATAGACATTTATCGTAGATGGTGTACATATTAATTAGTAATTTGAAAGTGTCATAAAACAACTTTTTTATTTCAAGATCATGTTTGTTGACTGACACTAGCTGCTTCACATGTTTTTGTAAACACAAATTTTAATGTTCTTAGGTAATTAAAATTTCACGGTGTATAGACAATATTGGTGCGTTGCGCGAGTACCTTATAAACATAATACGAGTTACGACATACACGATAACTCACGAGTTGTCGGCTACGAAGAGGTCTCATCCCACTTTGAATCTCTGCAACTGCGTAGAAAGCTCTGAAGAATTATTCAACCCTATCTCGTCCAAGGTGAGGGCGAATCACGCGTGCTGGCCTCCGTAGTCACCGTTTTACAACTTGCTGCAATCCATCGCGAACTTAAAGGTTTGATGGAACCATTCTCTGCTGCACAGTCGACAAATGGAACTCCCTTCCAGCGCACGTATTACCTACTTCTGACAATATGTGATCCTTTAAACGAGGCGTGAAGAGGCACCTTGTAGGCATGCAGGGTGGAGATGGCTAGGGCAGTGATTGTATCAACACTGCAGTAGGTTCGATCAAGTTTGGATCCTACTTTCCATTTGTGGAGTCATCTGCCTGTCACGTACAAAAAAAATTGACACGACGTCAGCTATAGTCCAGTCTTGTGGCTCGAGAACTCACTATGTTGTAAATTTTATTTATCAGTAAAGAGTTGGACTATAGAAAACATGTTCACAATATTATGCATTATTACGATCGAGATACTGTTTGTTACAGAAGTTGAAAGATATAAGAGAGACGTGGAACGTAGTCAAGAGTAAAAACTTTACATTTTAAAGATGGGATCGTGCTCTATATTTTATAGTTTACCGAATAAGTTTCATTCGAAAAATGTAAATAAAAAAATAGGTGAATGATATGCAGTGGAGGAAGCGTTTTAAGCCCGTTATTTATCGCAGCCGCTAGCCAACTTTATCCAACGGGATTTATGGGATGTGTAAATATTTGGCTGTTTTACATATGGTAACGGGAGGTACCTACATATCTATATTTAGAATATGACACGTTGTTCAATTTCACTGGGTAGAGGGTTACAGGCATTTTTTTTTATAATAGCAAGTGACGGGACGAACAAGTAAGCGACATGCCTTTTCAGAGCCACTCAGAACTTTAAATCGCACAAATCCGAAGGGACACTGCCACTGCGCCCGTCACACTGGGACTTTTTTTACATTAGTTCTAATAGCAGTAGAGCTCATTGTGAAAGAGTCCGTCCAGGGAAGTATTGCCACCTGGGCTATTTCATGTCTCCAAGCAGTAACGTTAGCATTACTGCGTTCTGGTTTGGAAGGGTAAGAGTGCTGGTGAAATTACAGGCACATGGGACTTGTCAACTTATGCCTCAGAGTGACGGGCGCAATGGCAGTGACCCTCAGATCTTTGTGTTTTAAACATCTGAGTGGCACTGCAACTGTTATGGACAGGCGTGTAGCTTACCATCAGGAGTACGATTTGTTCGTCTCATCACTGGATATTCTAAAAAAAAGACAAGTTGACAGGTCACATGTGTCTGTAATTTCATTAGCATCCTTACCCTTCAAAACCGGTGCGTGTTACTGTTTGGCGTTAGAAATAGGTAAAGTGGCAGTACTTCCCTCGACGACCTGTTTGACAAGGAGCTGTAATGCTTCTAAAACATGAACCGAATGTGAATTTTAAAACACATTAAACGTTTTTTAATTTTTTAATTATTTTTGTCAGTCCCTCAAAAAAGTTGTTTTTATATGAGCTTCTTACATGAGCCTCCTCGTAAGTTTTAATGTTGGGCCCGTTAGAATTTAAATAAATAAATTTATTAATAGTATTGCCGTGTCGTGTTCGATCACACGGTTATGGTTATTTGGTAAAAGAAGATATCCATTGATGACTTTGTATGCGGGTGTCGATTGCGCATGATATTTACCCGTATAAAACGTGCTTGAAAATATAATGTGCAAATTATACATTGGCGTTCAAAATTTTGTGACCTTAGATCGGAACGTGCAGGGAAAAGAATTATAGATAAATTATTATTATAATGCGTTAATTTTTGATAGGTGAAGGTTGCCTTAATTGTCAGTGTTGTAAAAATGTTAAATTGTCTAGTGTACGTGAAGACATGATGCCCGAATTAAAAAAAGGAGGTTTTTCAATTCGAGTGTTTTTTTGTGTGTGAGTTACGCGATTAATCCGAATTCTTCTTCCTTTGTTGGAAAGGGGATACCTTGGAAGTGTCCCCGTTCAAATTTGAAGAAAATATTCCACCTCTAAGGGTGACAAATCAGGGGATGAATCCACTTATATTCTGTTAACCGATTATATTAAAACTTGGCAAATAGATGTAATTCCACAAACTTTTGAGATCGATTTTTTATAAGAACGTTATATAATTATTACATAAACAGAGTGTATATATATATATCTCTCTCTGAAATAGCTATATCTGAAAAGAGTAACTTTAAGTTTATATTTTGTATCACACAGAAACTATAAATAGTCTCGGATTTAAAAACAAAAATACCATAATATCATCGACACTGGAAAGTAAACAGTGAAAAAATTACAGTAAAGTAACTTTTTTAAGAAAAAGATAATTATAACTCTAATTTTATTTCTTACTTATATGGAAAACTAGAACGTTTCAGATTTTCCATACAACAAATAAAATTAGACTTATATTTTTTTAATTACTTTCAATCGTTCTACTTTAATATTTTCATAAAGCACGTTTTACCTTTTCAGTGTTGATGTATATTTTAAGAAAATACTCCATTAGTTTGTGATTATTATATAGCTCAATTGGTAAGAGCGGTAGCCACTGGTGCGGCAACAGACGTTGGTTCGAGTCAACTCAGAACGAGGGAATTGTTCTTTGTGCTTCTTCGATCATTGTATCAATGAAAACAATAATGTTACTTTGTAGAGTCAGGTAGAGGTCTAACACGTTGTTTAATCCAACTCTGTACCGTTTATATAAAGGTTCAAAGTGCGAAATTCGGCCACATCTTGACTATACAAGTGGTACTTGCAAGATAATATTGATTTTATTGAATATTATGATTTTTTACTACCATGATTTGCATTTATTTTGTGAAATTACTGCACCAAATACAAAGATCTGGTAACAAGCACATAGAAAAATTCGTGAGGTTCGCTGGTTCGTTCCGTGGCAAGTTGGCACAGCGTCTGTCACGATTTCTTAGGAGACGTCTGTTCGAATCCGGCCCAATCGAAGGAATTTTTTCTAAGTGTTCGATCGTTGTATTGATAATTATAACAAACTAGTGGAGGAATTTCACAAAAAATAATTAAATATCATGGTAATGTAACATTGAAATTTAATAAAAATTTAATAACCCACTGGTTGGTTATAATTATTAATACAAAGAAAAATGTAAAGGTAGTGTAGTGGCTCTAGTGTGGAATATAGACGCAATTTGGAGGTCTTGTCAGATCGAAGGATTTTTTCTTTGTGCTTCGTTGTAAGATAAATTAATTTTAAGTAGCGTGAAAGTGATGATATACAGGTTCAATTAAAGTTCAGCTGTGCCGAAACAAATGAATTCTAACATTTTCGCAATACGAGATTGTGATCGCCAGTTCAGAAGCCTCCAAACATTCTCTTAACCTCGCAACATAGATCGCATCGGTTTTCAATAGCCGCTGACCGCAGTCCGGAGGCCCCAGACCTTGTAAACTGCAAAATCACTGACAAAATGGAGTAACAAATCGCCCGCAGCAACCACTTAGATACGCCTGAGTACAACCAGACTGCCGTTGCCTTTGAAAGTTATGAAACAAAAGCAAACTGATATATTTCCATTAAACTTAGATTCTACAAGTGTTCACTACTGTATAAATTTAATTAAATCAAGCAACTGTTATTCTAATGCTTTAGGAAATTTCGCACCCTTTCGTGTAATAAGGTCACATCTGCAAAATGACAACTTTTCAGGAGAGCGGCTTAAAGATTCTAATAACGAAATTAGTCGATATTTTATGGAGTTAAATTGGAGAGATAAAATTTAAAATGTAGATAATTTGTTTCATGTGTGTCACTTCTGTCGTACGACCACATAAGATTTTGTTTTATTAAGGATACGATTTAGTTCTTTTTATATTTCTCAATGCATACACAAGTAGGATTGTATGAATAGCCGACAAGAAAAATTTTGCAAATTTTTAGGAATCTTACCTTAAAAAAGTTCCGTAAAGAACTTAAATGATCCTCCACGAACTGTATTAAGAACTATAAGCACCATTTTGGCACAAACTTTACATGTGATGACATTTATCGGTGACATTTGTCCATACTACAGTGGCAAGAGATTCTAAGGTTACTTAAATCAGTATCATTTTACAGAATCAGCTATAATTACCAATTGTGTAATGTAACTATTTTGTAGACATTAAAGAAGTACAGTCAAGAGCACGTCAAGCTTGATACTTTGTACTTTGGACCGTTCTTATCATATGCGGCATAGAGTTGGATTTAAGTCTTAAGTGTCAAGCTTGACGTGCTCTTGACAGTACCTGAGCAGGATTTATTTTGTCTGACGTGTCGTGTCGTGGCGCGTCAGAACGACATCGGTTTCATACACACAACACAAGCCGTCATGCCAGATTGTCGCACACTAATAAAAACCTAACCATGTTAAATGTATGATACCGATACCGTTCGCGTTCTGACGCGTCACGACACGAGACGTCGAACAAATGTAAATTCGGCTTATATTGCACGCTAGGTTCCATTCTATCAAAATACGTCAATGGTAAAATCAATTGTTAGAGATCATATTACAGTGAACGATTTATAAAAGAAATTGAAGAAGATGCTTCCTTTTTAATACCTGAGGTTTCGTGTTAATTGCAATGAAAAATTTATGTAACAGAATTGAGGTAAGCGTTTCCATTAATGGTGAAGTCTTTTCAGTTTAGCCGTGGCCGCAGCTTATTTATTATTTAATGGGGAAAAAAACCACAAAACCTAGACGTAAAAATCAGATTTTTATTTCTATTAGAGGTTCCATGTGGCTTGTATCAAGTTGTATCATATAATCACAATAACTTGGTTTTAAATGGTTATTGCCCCATACCATGAGTAACATTTTTTTGTTTATGATATCATTGTTTATTATTGTTCGTGACGGGATGTACAAATCGTGGGCCTAATCGTAAGCGACACGCCAATACATAACATTATAGCATTCAAAGCGTTAAATCGCAAAAATCTGAGGGGAACTGACACTGCGCCCGTCACCCAGCGACATAAAGTTAACTCTCAGGGCCCCGAATACAAATATAATTCTAAATGAGTTCAGGAACAGTGCACAAAATTTAATATCCAGAGCTGTGCAGTACAGCTGAAGACGAAGAGTCAACCATCGTCAATGAAAAACCTACGTTAATTAATTGGGTACTCGCCTATATCGTGTATATATCGAAGATTCGCACGAAGCATCACGTTTTCACACTTATATGTCGTACGGCTATAAAGCAGGCAGGGTGGAGGTGGCTAGTGCAGTGAGGATTTCATCGCTGCACTAGGTTCCTTCGCGTTTGGATACCACTTTCCACTTAACATCAGGTGGAGTGGAGTCGTTTGCCTGTCATGTATATATAAAAAAAAAAGAAAAAAAGTGGAATTCCTTGCGTGCAGATTTGCCCTCGCCTTTTCAAGGCGATACGACGATTAGGGGCATAACACAGGTGTGCCCTCATTGTCACTTTCCGTCAGGTGAGATAGAGGTCATATGCGCACTTATTTTATCTATATAAAAACCAGTCCTAACATCATTTATGTTTTATATTTCAGGTACATAACAGCAGTTCGTAACACTCGTTACATGGGAGTCCGAATGGCAGACTTTGTGCAGTTCCTATCTTCCGTGGGGGTACCACCAGCTTCGCTTCACGTCATCGGGTTCTCGTTAGGGGCAGAAGCAGCGGGCTTTGGCGGTAAAGAGTTGAGACGACGCGGTATGCTGCTTGGTAGAATTACTGGTAAGATAAACCTGTATATTATAAACCCCTGCTGTAGTTAGTAGCAGTAGAGCTCCTTGTGAAGAAGTTACTGCCACCTTACCTGTTTCTGCCGTCAAGTGGTAATGTGAGCATTACTGCGTTCCGGTTTTGAAGGGTAAGGATGCTGGTGAACTTACTGGCACATGGGACTTGTCAACTTATGTTTTAGGGTGATGGGAGCAGTGGCAGTCCAACACAGATCTTTGTGCTGTGAAGCTCTGAGTGGACAACTGCAACTGTTATGGACAAGTGTGTCGCTTTTCACCAGGCGCATAACTTGTTAGTCTTGTAACTCTTGTAACTCTGTGATACCTATATCATAAAAAATATATAGGTTATTATTGATACAAAGGTCAAATAATCACGAAATGTGATCATTTGACCTTATGACATTTGACATTTGAAATCACATTTAAGCAACAGACACTCGTTCGAGTCCAGTTGGAGCAGTTTTATTTTCTATTCGATCTTTGTACCTATCATAGTAACAAACTAAAGGACGGTGTTGATGAGAGACCTGCAGATTTACCGATATACGTAGATGCTATAAATTGCTAGGCAACCCCCATACGAATCGTGCAAAAAGACATACAATTTGTTAAATCGGATCTCTAGCAACGCCGCTCAGATACGTAAACTATAGTTTAGGTTATGATGAAAAGTTCCTAAACAAATAAAGATTTAAAAAAGTAACAAACTAGTGGAGTATTTAAAAAAAATGAATTCTCTCAATATCATTTATTCAATAAAAATAAATATCTCAATGTATTTAAAGGAGTTATTTTTATTTGTGTTATAGTGTTCAATATATATATGTTAAAAATTATGAATTTTTTAAAAAATATGAAAAATATGATATGGTATGAATCCGATTTCGCGCAATTTCCGGTAACTGATTTCAGTAAAACTTGGCAAATAGATATAATTCCACGAACTTTTGACGTAGGTTTTTTAGTACTCCGTACTGAGATTACCAAATTAAATGTTCTGGTATATATGACCAGAGATCATATGAAAATTCAACATATTTTTTTCAGCGTTTCTCGCTAAATAAAGTGTACATTTACACTCTTTTAAATGGGGTACGTAGAGCTTTACATCCACATTTTACGACTGGAATTAAAGTTTCATTTGTACTTCATTTTTCACATGAATGGGGGATTCACGAACATTGTCCAACGATGAAAACTATAAGTTATCGTCGCTAATACTGTTTGGCGGTGTATTTCATGAAACATGTAACACAACACTCCTCGGATACTATATTATTTACTTTTGAAATCTCGGTAACGTAACGGGCTTAAAAGATTGAGCGTAAAGTTTGCTACGTCTTATCCTCGGCAGAAAGTCGGAAGTAAATCGGAAATGCTCTTAGGGGACTTTATTAAAGGATTTGAGAGCTTCCTTATCATTATTTCGCACCTCCAGTGACAAAGTGTAGAGTGGATTTTTTAAATTTCTGTATCTGCTGTAGTAGTTATAGATGTTTCGTTGTGGCCCAACGATATCTATGTCTACTACTAGAAGTCCTCGTTGTGGCCTTATTAATGTATTGTTATTAATGGTAATCAAAATTCATTGTTAATTTAATAAGTGATGTTGTCTGATATTTATTCATTTATAATTTTCCGAATGTGTAGAACATGTAATCATATTTATTGTACCCATTAATATTCCGTCATAATTATCCTGCATTTAAAAATACTGCCATTAAACAACTCATTTGAACTGTTAAGACCTTTATCCATTTTAAAATAAGATAACGCAATTTTAGTTTTCTGCATGTTGTGTATAGTTGTAACTGGGAAATAGATTTAGTGATTTTTTTTTAAGTTAACATTATTTAAAAATAACGAATAACGTTGTAATCTGTTTTGTGTAATTTTTACCTTCATAAAAATAAAATGTACAACTAGTGCTTGAATGAAATTAAAGAGGTATAGGTACTATTGAGTTCTAAGGATTTCGCGATTCCTACATATTGAGACGTTTCGGGCTCTTTAAATGTCCAGTACGATGTTTTATCCGAAAAAAAATGTACAACAATTTATAATTTATAGCTTTCCTTTAATTGAAGAGAAATAGACCGTTCAGAGTATCCTAAAGATGTCATGGTCATTTGAGATTAGCTATGCGCTTCACCAAAATTATTGTGAAACTTATTGTCACGATAGTGTAACCTTCACGGTGTAATCTAGAAGCAGGATTCTAGAAGCAAGCTTCTAGAAAACCATTCGAATCCGACGATATATTCGAATCACTAGGAAAATGAGACGATTGTATTCTTGTTTAAGAAGATGTTGGCATGCAATATACTGCAGTATTCCTTTGCGTGTCTTGAGTATATGTATAGATATATGTTTACAGATTTAGTAGACAACATAAAACAGTGTAATACCAAGCTAATATTCTCTCATATTACGAGACGTCCTAGACATGATAAAAGGTGTAAAACCAAATTGGCCTACTTGTTTGTATTATTATATGCTTTTGTGTTATTACGTAATTTTGCATAGGCAATTTAACTTATCTCAAATTACTGTCACATTGTCCGTAAGATCACATATCTCAAGTTGTTTGAATTATGTACAATTTACGTTACATGTTAACTCTAATATCCAAACGTAGATAACAGGGAAACTGACAGGAAGGTCAAAATTAATGTTGAAAATAAGCAAATGTTACATTGTTATGATAAATTTCTGTTTACTTATTTCAAATAACAATGTTTATTTACTTTTAGTTTCTATGAATTTTACAATGATATGTGAATTTGAGGTGCTATAAAGACGTAAAAACAAAAGAAATAAATTATCCTATTGGTGAAATTTCAGACATTTAAGACCTCGATAGCCAAGTGGTTAACACCGTGGGCGCTGGATGGGATGAGCAGGTCCCGTTTTCGATTTTCTGTAGGACTCATTTAGGAAATGTGCTCTGGGCAGTGCTTTAGAATTTTTCGTTATTGTGGTACTCGTAATACCTACAGTGAATTTCTTTATTTGAGACCAGGTAATTGGTGTGATCAGATTTTATTTTTCGTATGTTCCTAGCTCAATAAAGAATCTTTAACCCCGATGAATTTTATGCAAAAACGTTTTCTAGCGTTTTTGTTTCCATTCGAAATATTTTCACTCGAACCGTATTATTTGCGATTCAAAGCCGTGTTGTATAAAGTATATTAGGTTTATTGAACATCACGATATTTTGCTACCATGATATTTAATTATTTTTTTGTGACTTTGCACCACTAGTTTGTTATAATTATTAGTACAACACTAAGAAAAAATTCTTCGATCCGGCTGGAACCTCCAGCATACCGTGCCTGACGCTCTCCCAACCGAGTTATGGAACCAACTAGGGGTCGATTCAGAACCTTACGATAACTTAGTTGTCAACCGATTCGATTTGATATCGTACGATTTCTTTTCATTTTTATTCACAACATTCGAATCGAACGTCAAACTGTCATATTCGAAACCAAACCGAAATGACATCACTCCCGTACGATTACTCGAACTTCTCGACCAGCAAAGGCTACTGAACGTCCTATTGTTTACAAAGCAAGAATTAATATGGAAATCTCTTATTATTTTAAGTAGAGTCTGGATTTTGTTCAATTTTATTATTTTATTTTAATGCAAGACTAATGCATTCCTATATTTTGGGCCTTTGTGTTTACAGAAGGGTTTTCATTTTTCTTGTAATCGCTGTTGGGTATCATACGATATCATATTCGAATTGACAGAATAGCTCAGAAAGCGCCCTTCGATTCGAAAACGATATCCGATCGAACGATTCGTTTAAAATATCGAAGAGTTTTGATATAATTAATTATTCAATTTTAAATTCTATTGACATTTTGAATTCTATAGTATTTTAATTGAGCTTACTGACTAATTAGTTATGAAACATTGTACACCCGACATGGGTATGAACTGTTGCACCCAAATTACATGTATCATCTTGTTTACCAGTTCAAACAATAAACGATTCTGATTCTGATTCTGATTCTGAGTTCTGAATCGGGGTTCAGCAGGCCGTACGATTTTTTTTGCTTGATGCAGACCTTTATTTATTGGTTATTAACGATTTGTTTGCTGTCTAATTATAAGTTGTTATGTTTCCAGGCTTGGATCCTGCTTACCCGGGCTACAGGCTAAGCAACGATGATGGTCACCTATCTCGTGGCGACGCTTCCTTCGTGGACGTCGTCCACACTAACCCTGGCATCTTCGGTTTCCCTCAGCCCATCGGTGACGTGGACTTCTACCCTAATCCTGGAAATTGGATCCAGCCTGGTTGCTGGTTCGACCAGCTTATTAGGAACGGACAGTTTCAATTTGCGTGTAAGTACATTTTATATTTGTTTTGTTAGGCTTGGGTAAAAAGTATCGATATAATATATTTTCAAGAAATAAAATCGATTTTAGATATCATCATTATTTTTTGTTTCGATGTATTTTTTTATTTTCTTGTCCAGACGGAAACAAGAGGTTTCAATGTCTGTTTTAGTCCCTCGTGAGCTTATTTGGAAATGCTTTACTTTTAATGTGGCAGAACGGTTACCATGCTGGACTGCTACGCTGAGGTTCCGAGTTCGATTTCCGGGCCGGGTGAATATTTGTAGGGCCTACATTTCTTTCCTTTCTCTCGTGATTTTGGTTTTTTTAAATATATAATAGAGACACGCTTGGCCACAATCTCACCTTATGTTAAGCGACGATGTGATTGACGATGGGACGTGTTTGCTTAAAAAAATGCCCTCTGGCCTTAAATAACCCCAAATTGTACTTTTCGGGAAGCACAGATAGAGATAGCCGGTAGAGTATTCCATTCTTTTCCCGTACGCGTCAGAAAGGAGGAAGCAAAGCGCTTAGTGCGAATAGGTGGTAAACCAACGATATAAAGATGGAGTGTTCCGGACCTTCTAGTCGATCGACGGAGGACAGTGAGGGTGGAACTAAATTGAAAAGTCCCTGCGCACACTCCCCGAAATGTATCCGATAGAAAACCGAAAAGCCGGCTACTTTTCTGCGATGGGCGAGATTTTGTAGCTTCGACTGCACAAGAGAATTGTTGTTAATAAGTCTCTTTGCTTTTCGCTTCATAGAGTACAAGGTTATATCATAGGCTAACTGGTAATGGGCAGGGCCGTCCCAAAGGTGCAGTACTCCATACAAGATTCAACTTGTTCTTTATACAGATTTAAAAGCTGTTCTGAGTGTAAAAGGTGTAATTTGTGGTTGCCTATATGCGTGTCCATGGCACCCGCAATACAGGGTTTCCCTATGAGTGTGTTATTATTTAAAAAAATTAGCTTTCAGCAAAATATCGATATATAGTTTTCGAAAAATATTTTGTTCCACCCTAGTAGTAGCGTGAAAGCGTTCAGCAACATCAACGCAAGTTTGTCAACAAACTTTGGTGTCGCTCTACGAGGTACTACGAAAAAAAACCAAATAACTACACTAATTTCTTCCACATTTCCCAAGTTGTGAGTGTGTGCGTTATTATTTCCCAAGTTATTATGGATGTAAGTAATGACTTTATTACAGAGATTCTGGTAAAAGACTCAGTGGGAGTCGTTTTTCGATTACCCACAATATTTTAACTCGATAAAACGAACGGACGAACGGCACCTTGGGGAAATCCGAGTGCGCTTAGGCTTTCAATTGATTTGTAGAGTTTCAGTTTATGTTATACGATCAATATTTGAAATCAAATTGAATCGGTGTCTCCGAAATTGCTTGTAATGTGAATGGATTATAATCCGAGCATGCACCTATGACTTTTTTATGTGCGACATTTGAATTGATATTTAACATGAGCTTTTCAGTGAAGGAGAACATCGTGAGGAGACCTGCACAAATCTCCAAAGCAATTTAATGATATGTGTGAAGTTCTCAATACGCAATAGGCTCGCATGGGAATTACAGTCCATGCCCTTTTATTGTGAGAGGAGCTCGGTGCCCAGTAGTGTACTATTATTATCATATTATAAGCCTCCCCCGAAGATGTACCAATCACAATAAATGTACGTTTGGCGCACCGTGGTCAACAATCAGCGAGAACCTTACATCAATTGGACGTAGTTAAACAAAAAAGATCCAATGCACATCCAATCTCTTTCGAGATCAAATATAGCAGTTTGAAATTTAAAAGTGTTTCTCACACTTGTTTTATTTTCAAAACTTATGTTGTCATGCAACTCCAGAGATATATATTTATGTTTATGTGTTATATTTTTTTGCCGATCTATGAGGTTAGACTTTAGGAACCGTTTGGTACATATAGCTCATTTTTCGATAATCTTGTGGATAGGATCCTTTTTGCGCAACTCCGTCCAACTGACAAATACTTTCACCACGAGGGAAAACATGTCCTATAGTTCTGGACTGCAAATCTATGCCATCGATATGATAAGAAAATAATGTTTTTGGGACATTACGACGTCTTTATATTATCGACAGGGCACTGTAAGAATTTATTGAAAAGTAGTCTATTGGTTTTCAAAAAAGGTAGATATTGTGATGTAAAGCACTTAAATGCTTTTTAATTCGAATCCACATCGACGAGATACGTACTGCAATATTTTAATGTTTTTAGGACACTATGACGTCTTTATATGTTATTCTGTATGATTTTATTTAAAAGTATTTAGTGTTTCCTAAAAAGAGTGATATTATGATGGAAATTACACTTAATGCTTATTAATCCGAATCCATATCGACGAGATACGGACTGCAATATTTATTTGAAATTAATTATCATTATGTTTGTACTGCATTGATTTACTAGTTTGTTATTGTTATCGATTCAAAGATAGTCAAGAGATGAAAACCAGAAATGATATAGTACAATTATCCCTAGAAAATACTTTCGAAATCTGTGCGGTGGAATTACCCAGACATAACTCAATAATAATTAACTTATACTGGCCAAATAGCAACATTAACAAAGACAAATTTTTTGATTGTTTAGAAAATCTTTTGAAATTATTATCATTAAAGGATACTACAAAAACAATTTTAATAGGTGGTGACTTTAATGTTAACTTCTTAATAAACACTATAGTAAAGAATACTTTAAAAAATATCATGTTAACATATAATTTTCTACAAATTGTGCAAAGAACTGACTAGAAAACCCAAAGTAGTTCTACCTGTATAGATCTTATCTTTATAAATATTAATTCAAATAACTACCAATTAATTGTCAATGAATTCGGTTTTTCAGACCATACGGGTTTACTTTTCTATATACCAACAAGTATTCAAGCTCCAAAACAATTTTCGGTGGCAAAAAGGATATATAATGATAAAAATGTAAGTGAATTTAAGAAACAACTTCAAACTATAGAGTGGAAAGATATAATAAAACCTGAAAAAAATATGAACGAAAATTATAATGCATTCAATAACACCATCCAAAAAACGCTTAACAAACGTATACCTAAATTAATTCATCAACTACAAAATAAACGCGTGACCCCTTATCTTACTTCAGGGCTTAAAATATCTTGTCGCAATAAAAGATTAATAAAATTATTAACAACACAAACAAAAAATTAATTAATACATAATTATTACAAAGGATATTGTAAAACTTTAAAAAAACTATTCACATGTCAAAAAAGATAAGAAACATAGAAATTGATATTCAATTATTTTTTGTGAAATTACTCCACTAGTTTGTTATAATTATTAATACAAAGATCGAACACTCAGAAAAAGCACTCAGAAACAATACAGTGAATAGCGACATCTCTCGCCAGGACTGGTAGCTGTAAAGGTACTAACTGGGTGATAAATCTGTCAAAGATTTCTCATAGATGGCGCTACGACTAAAAGTCGTTGAAAGACCAAGTACAAAGACACGACCCAAGCACATAGAAAAATTCGTGAGGTCCGTTGGTTCGTTCCGTGGCTTAGTTGGTATAGCGTCTGGCACGGTATGCAAGAAGACGTCGGTTCGAATCCGACCGGATCGAAGGAATTTTTTCTGAGTGCTTTTTCTGAGTGTTCGATCTTTGTATTAATAATTATAACATATATAAATATTCAAAAAATAAAAGTAAAGCCATGTGGCATATTATAAATAAAGAAACTAACCGTCGACCCCATATAGTCAAACAAAACATTATATTGAAACATAACGAAATAATACATACGGACTCAAAAAAGATTGCAAATTGTTTCAACGATTATTTCTCTACAATAAGCAACACCCAAAATTCGATACGTGACAAAAGCTGTAATATGCCAAACACAGTCAGTAACTCAATTTTTTTACAACTGGTAGATTTAAGTGAAACTTACAAAATTATTAATAGTCTTAAAAATAAAACGAGCTTTGGTGTAGATGAGGTTTCGCCGTACTTAGTAAAGAAATGTGTAGACAATCTAACTCTCCCATTTACCTTACTGATAAATCAATCTCTTCAGGAGGGATGTTTTCCGGATTCTCTGAAAATGTCGCTAGTTAAGCCAGTTCATAAGAAGGGCGATAAAACTGATTTAAGCAACTACCGCCCCATTGCTTTATTACCTACATCGGCCAAAGTAATAGAGACTGCGATGCCAAAAAGACTCATTGCATTTTTTGAAAAGTTTAAAGTTCTCCATGACAGCCAATATGGTTGCCGTAAAAATAGAACCACGGTCCTAGCCTTATATAGGTTACGTTCAGAAAATATTAAATATAATTAACAACAAAGAATACGCGGTGGGTTTGCCACTCGATATGAGTAAGGCATACGATAGAGTAAATTATAAAATATTTCTCGACAAGCTCTATTATCTTGGTGTAAGAGGCCTAGCTTTTAAATGGTTTCAATCATATCTTCAAAACCGATCCCAATGCGTTGAAATTGAAAACACTAACTTTCATACAGGCGAAATTGAGCATGTCAGATCAAATGTCATCTCTATCACTGGTTCTATTCCTCAGGGAAGCGTGCTGGGTTGCATTCTGTTCCTTGTGTACGTAAATGACCTTCCTCACTCAATTCCTTACGATAGTGTACTGTTTGCGGATGATGTATCTAATTTTTTGCCTTGCACATGTACTAATTCACTACAGAAGGACTTAAATGCGATATTGGATTCACTCACAGAATGGCTCGATCAAAATAACCTAAAACTAAATTTAGAAAAAACAAAAATAATTTAATTTAAACCCCGCCAAAATATTGCTTTCGACATCAACTATATATATAAATCAAACAAATTAGAAATGGTAGATTCGGCATCTACGTTGGGTATTGCATTAGATACACACATAAATTGGACACCCTATATTCAAAAATTATCTAGCCGTTTATCTTCACTTATATATGCTCTTAGAC